ATTATAGTTGTAGCCGTAAATTTACATAGAATGTACACATACAGCGAGCAGGGGAAACACCCCACTATAAACAACCAGTTTTATAAATATTTGTTCCAAACTTTTTCCACAACCAGGAGTCTAGTCTATTTTTGAAAGAAAGTACAGTGGAGTACAAAGTTATTTGCTCTGGTAGATTGTTCCAGTATTCTGCTGATCTATTATACAAATGATTATATCTTGGAAGACAGTTTAGAACATACTCACGCCTTATTTTAGAATGGTGACCACGAGACACGGAGTTAATATATTTTGGTAGATATTTATCATTAACTATATCAAAACGATGTATTAATTTAAAAATTTGGATTAAATCGCATCGAAGGCGTCGAAACTCAAGTGATGGTAGGTTTAATCTTTTTAGCCTTTCGCAGTATTGAAGATGCCTCAAGCTGTAAGCCCATTTTGTAGCTTTGCGTTGAACAGATTCAACCAAAGCCATATCAGCTTTTAAAAAAGGAGCCCAAATGGACACTCCATATTCAAGATGTGGTCTTATAAATACTTTATATAATTTGAGAGCCATTTTTTCATCAATGAAAGTGAATGTCTTTTTCAGCATACCGAGAATTTGTAAGGACTTAGAGACAACTGTTTGAATATGAGCGCTCCACTTGAGGTTAGATGTAAAAATGACTCCTAAATCACGTTCTTTAGTAGAGCTTCATAGAGATTGGTTGATTCCTTGGTTATTTTGAAGAAAGTAATTGTAATGGGGGTTGTTTCGACCGTAATGAATGACGCAGCATTTTGAAGTGTTTAGCTTAAGTAACCAAGTGTTTGACCACTCGTATACCAAGCGTAGACGATCCTGCAGATCAACAAAATTAGATTGCGATAAGGTTTTAGAAAAAAGTTTAGTATCATCGGCAAATATCTCAGATGTTTCAGTGAGTTTTGCGAGATCATTTGTGTAGAGAATGAAGAGGAGCGGGCCGAGAAAAGAACCTTGAGGAACACCACTGAGAACATCAACCCATGCAGAGCTGGTATTGTTAATTGTAACGCGTTGCTTTCTGCCCACTAAAAAAGATTTAATCCATTGTAGGAGTTTGCCGTTTATTCCGAAAGATCTTAATTTTAACAAAAGTCTGTTGTGAGGTACAGAGTCAAACGCTTTGGCAAAGTCAAGATAGATTACATCAATAAATTGGTGAGATGCTATGGAGGACGAAATGATATCAAAAGTTTCTATTAGGTTAGTTACGCATGATTTATGATAAAGGAAGCCATGTTGATTTGCAGAGAGCATTTTATTATCGTTAATGTGCTTTAAAATTTTTTTCTTTACAAGTTTTTCAAAGATTTTACAGGCAACAGATGTTAGTGAAATAGGTCTATAGTTTTCAGCAAGTAATTTATCTCCCTTTTTTTTATAGATCGGACTAATATTTGCTAATTTCCATTGAGTGGGTACTACTCCAGAATTAAAGGATTTATGAAAGATTTTTGTTAATGGAATTGCAAAGCTTTTGGCACATATCTTGAGTATTAAGGGATGCAAGCCGTCAGATCCGAAGGATTTATAAGGCTTTAGATCGGCAAGTTCCTGAATAATATCTGAGATAGAGAAATCCAAGTTTTCATTATAAATGCATTCAGAAAGAATACCACTTTTATTTAGCAAAGGAAAATTTTCAGAGCTTTCAAGTGTAAACATAGATTTAAATTGAGAGTTCAGAAGATCAACTATATCAGGAAGAGCTTCAATAATTCTGCCTGAAGTATCTTTGAGAGAGCGAATTCTATCTTTAATTTTTAGTTGTTTGTTGATATATTTGTAAACGATTTTTGGGTTGTTTTGGGATTTTGATATTATTTCTTTTTCATGTGCTTTTTTTGCTTTAAATATTTCAGTTTTTACTGAACGATTAAGGCGATTGTATTTTATTTTAAGCTCACTATTCTCCCATTTGGTAGAGCAGTTTATATGCCAAGCGGATTTTTTTTCTCGGATCAGGTTTTTAATATGTGGGGTAACCCAAGGATCATACTTTTTTTTTGTTTTATTAATCTTGGGAATAAAATATGTGCAAGCAGTGCGATAGTTAGAAATTAGTATATTGAACATTTGATCTGCAGTTTTATGCAGGAATAAAAACTCCCAGTCGATTGATGCAATAAAGTTAGATATTGAATCGTAATCACCTTTTTTGTAATTAAACGATTGAGATTCACTTTCGGTAAACAGTTCTGAAACTAAGAATCTCCAAGTGATACTAAAATGACCCTTAGTGGTGTTACCTAGAATAGTACTAGGAGACAAGTTTAAAATAGAATTACTGTTGTAGGTAAATAACAAGTCCAACATATTATTTGAGGAACCATAATCAGTCTGGAAAGTAGGAAATGTGATATGTTGAGTAAAAAGGCTGTTTTGGAAAATATTCCAGAAATCATACTCGGTAGGATTGTTTGGGTTAAAAGATTCAATACCATCGTTAGACCACTTTATATTCGGGAAGTTAAAGTCACCGACAATCAAACAGTCATCATAGGGCTTTTTAATTAAACTATGAGCTAATTTGAAGGATTCAGCGACATATTTTATTAAACTGGCATCATTTGGTCTGTATATACAACCGATAAGTATATGTTTGTTGTTAAATTTTACAGATACCCAGACTTGTTCGAGAAGATTTGTATAAAATTGGTTAACTTCATGAGAGTTAAATACGTCTGTAATGTAGATAGCTACACCGCCACCTCGACGTCCGTCTTGACGATCTTTACGATATAGGCTATACCCATCAATATTAGGTACTGAGTCATTTCGAAACCATGTTTCAGAGATAGCAATAACGTGATAATCAAACGTTCTAGATATTGAAATTAAATCGGCCATTTTATTATCGAGAGATGTAGCATTAGTATAATAACAATTAACGCTATAGTTTGTTTTTTTGTTATGAAGATTTTTACTTTTGTATTTTAAGTTTGCTGGTAAAAGAGTGGAAGAAGGGTAGTAATGTTTATGTAGTGGTTTGTATATTTTTGAGTTTGACGACTCCGCTGCTTAATCTAAAGCAGCGGAGTCGTCAAACTCAAAATCGTATCTAAAGGGCGATGTTTTTAAATTGATATTACTATTTAATTCATTACGCTTCATTCTTAACTGATTTAATTAACATTCTTAACTAAATTAATTAACTGCAGATAATTTTTAACTTCATTTAATTGTGCATATTTTTTATAATATTGACTTCATTTTACATTGATGCTAAAATATAAGTAAGTATATTACACCGTAAGTTTTTGTTAAACTATCCAGTGAGCACCGGACCAATAAGACGTTTAAAAGACGTCTTTATTACGTCCGTGTCCACTGGGTAATGACTAACCTTTTTATAAATGAATGGAAAAACGTTGCGCGTTTGGCGCATAACTAACACGATTTTTAAAATTGAGAGGGAATAACCTTTCTAAGAGCAGAAGCGTCCCGCCCTTCCCCCCCCCCCCCTCAGGGCGGCTCTGTCAATGTGCATTCATTAAATGTTTATCGTTCTTTAATGCTTATTTTATAAAAAATATTGGTAATTGATTAAAATACAACTAATAAGACACTTTCTCTTGCTAAAACTTAAGTCTAAGTAGATGAACTAGCTTTGTTATGAAAAAGAAGCTTTTATGTATCAATACCAGCTTTTATTTTTAACTTCTATAGCAAGCTAGTTCGCTGCTTGATAAAGTTTGCATGGAAAAAATTTTTTTTGTATAGTAAATTTATTTTGCTTACATTTTAGAATGTATACTTTAAATAAATTAGACTTTAATTTATAAACGCTGCCCAACCGTTTCAAGTCATTTGCAAAAGACAAGCTATTTTTAAGACTTATTCAACCTGCTAGCAACAAATAGTCAACATTTACATTTTTTTTGTGATAAATATCAATACTGAAAGTTAATCAATACCAAAGATTAATCAATTAACGTATTTCACCTACTTCTCTCAAATAACTTTACCCAATTCAAATTAAATATTGATATTTTTTAACTAATTAAACTTCTTATTTTTATGCCATCCACTCTTATTATTATAATCTTTTTTATTGCTACTCAATCACCCTAATTCAAATAGTTAACAATTTCTAAACTAAAAAAGGTCTGCACGGTGACAAGATTCGTTGTTTTTATCTAAATTTTATAATCCAAGTTTTTTTAAATAGTAAAGTAGTTTGTCTATGTCCATTGTATATGTCGGCCCACTAAGCAATGGGGTATTAAAGTTCTTTGTTTTTATGACGTGTACGATGTTCGGAAGCAGTGCGATATTTACTTTTTTACATCGTAAATATTCACAAAAGTTTACATACAAATAAACAAATGCAAAACGAATTTGTAAAATTTTTAGCTAGGAATATGTTAAAAAAAAATTTACTCATGCTTTTTAAAATCAGAGTAAATTATTTTCATTTTATGATATGATATAGTATATGAAAAGTAATACTTTTGTTGAGGAAGTATAAAGTCGCTGTAAATACCACCAGCTGAGTAACGCAACAAGTGTAGTTACACAGCTGAACAGGAAATGTTCAGCTTTTACACTAAAGTTTTCATTTTTATAAAAACTATGTATAATGAAAACAATTTATACTTCCATAATTAATGATATATTTAAAATATGTTAAAAGTCGGTTTTTCCTCACTTTTATTAAATACTTATTGACTTCAATAAATCTAAATAAAAAAAAATAAATCTAAAAAAAAAGTCATAATTTTATTAAGGGTATGTATATGTATGTATGTACGTATGTATGTATGTATGTATGTATGTATGTATGTATGTATGTATGTATGTATGTATGTATGTATGTATGTATGTATGTATGTATGTATGTATGTATGTATGTATGTATGTATGTATGTATGTATGTATGTATGTATGTATGTATGTATGTATGTATATTATTATGTGTATGATATGTGATAATATTCAATATTGACATTAATAATAATATTTTTCTTAACAGTGCTAAATAATAAAATGACAACTACTTTGTTACTTGTAATCATTCGACTTGCAATGTCATATGAATCACAAGAAAACACTCAAAATGTAATCTTCTAGTTTGTTTTTAAATGTAACTGAAAAATAATTATTATATTCTTTACATTATGTAATATAAAACTTTAATTGCTTTCTCTTTGTTGAGTTTTTATGTTAAAGGTAACCAATTTTAAATGGTTACCATTAACATAAAAACTTGAATTTAAATTTTTTAAATTTGTTTAAATACCTATATAGGTGATTTTTGCAATACCAATACAAAATGTAGTTATCTGTGTACAAACTATTAATTTAATTACAAAAATATGACAAAATCTATTATAAGAATAATAAGTCATACTAAAAGAATGAATAGGAAGTGACAAAAGAGTAGGTTAATAAAAATTTACATAGAAAGTAATATCTAAACAGAAAGTGTCATTTGGACATGGTTGACTTAATTGTTCAAACCAGGTTTTAAACATTTTATGAATGGTTAAAACCTGGTTTAAAATTTAACTGAAGATGACTAGTGATAGTCGAAACATGTATTGTTTAAAATTAATAAAATGGTTTTATTAATTAAAAAGTTTGTGTTGTTTATTAAAATATTTACATTTTTTGTGCTTAAAAGAAATTATATATATATATATATATATATATATATATATATATATATATATATATATATATATATATATATATATATATATATATATATATATATATATATATATATATATATATATATATATATATATATACACACACACACACACACACACACACATGTGTATATATATATATATTAAGGCTGTACCGGATTCAATTTTTTCAAATTCGACCAGAGCCGGATTTTCCGGATTTCTACTAACAGATCCGGAATCGGAGTTGGAGCCATATTTCGAAGCAAAACTACAGAAACCAAAATCCTGTACATCCCTAATTGGTGCTGAAAATTGTCAACAATGTTGACTATTCAGATCACCAAGTGACAGTTGTTTTCTATTAAAAATCATTTTTGTTGTTTAAAAGTTTTATAGCAATTTCTATAGAAATTAATAGACATTTTATATAAGTTCTATAGAGTTTCTATTTCTATAGAAATTAATAGACATTTTTTATAAATTCTGTAGAGTTTCTATAGGCCATATGTTTCAAAAATTTAGAGAAATTCTATAAAACTTTTTTTTCCGGGATGTTGTCACTCCGCCACTGTAGTGAATCAGCGTGTCTATATATTTCTGATTCTTCCAGATATTGGTTTAGCTGAGTGTCAATGCCTGTTGGTAACTGTTGTTCATGTGCTGTGCCACAAGCAGGTGTAGACTGAATAATTTCATCTATATATATTACCATTGTAATGATGATAATGTATAAGAGTTATCTAGCCGCGATTGTTTAGCTGGATTTTCTTTAGTTTTGTCAATCTGCTGCTCAGCATGCTCATTGACTTCAATCTTGCTTTTTCACCTGTTAGTGTTTTTTCTTTTTTAACATATATATATATATATATATATATATATATATATATATATATATATATATATATATATATATATATATATATATATATATATATATTTCGTCGCTATGAGTAATTACAATACCAAAAAACATGAACAAAAAAAAAATATGACCGGGGCAAAAAAAAAATTGTAGTTGTCTTATCACTAAGCCCCGTAATAAATACACCTTAAGTTACAATGCTTATAAAAACCGTAATAATGTAAGTTACATATCTTTTAAATTTTTTTTACCGTTGAAGTTTACTAAAAATATATTTTAAATAGGGAATAAAATAACAAACCAAAAAAAAAACCCAGCAAAAAAGAAGAGAAAACAAACAAAAAAGACAAAACAAAAAATAAATAAACAAAAAAAAAAGCCAGTAATATTATTCATCATATTTATGGATCTGAATAAATAATCTTAGTAATAAACAATTATTAAAATTAAATTGTTAAACATAATTGTTATGCAAAAAATTATTAATAATAGTACTCTCATTTAAATGCTTTAGAAGAAATTTAGCTCATTGTGGTTTAGTAAAAGATTTTGCTTAAGTTTAGTTTTAAATTGATTAAGTGAAGAAAGTGTTTTAAGATCTTTATTTAAAAGTGTATTCCATAATTTAGGACTCGGTTTGTGATTGAGTATTTGGTGGCAGAATAATAGGTTTTGGATTGAGTATAGTTATTATTATAAAATGCTGTATATATGATTTATTTTTTTAAATAAAGAGTTGAATAAAAGTGGTGCCATTTTTTTATCAAGTTTAAACATAAATATAAAAATATGATAGAGATTTAATTTAAAAACATTTAGAATATTAAGTTTGCTAAAAAGTATTTTTGTATGAGAGAAGCAATTTTCATTTATAATAATCCTAATGGCATGTTTTTGTTTGTAGAGAAGTTTACTTAGTTTTTTAACATTGGTGCTGCACCAAGCAATGTTAGCATAGTTTACATAGTTTACATAGTTAAGGTAACAGTGTATAAATGAATAGTATATGTATTTAAGACAAGATTGGTTTAAGAACTGTTTAGCTTTATACAGTATTCCAATATTTTTAGAAAATTTATTCTCAGTTACACTTATATGTTCTCTCCACGTAATATTTTCATTGAGAATTACGCCTAAAAATTTTAGAGACATTTCCCTTTTTATTATATTTTTATCAATAAAAAGATTTGGAAGTTTCAATGGAATATTTTCTTTTTTATGAACACGATGGAATAATGTGCATTTGGTTTAAGCAATGTTTAAGGATAATCTATTGGATTTAAACCATTGGGTTAGTTTATCAATTACTTTGTTAACTATTAAGAATAAAATATTAATGTCTTTATGAGAATAAAATAAATTAGTGTCATCGGCAAATAAATTGTGTTTTAAATATTAGAAAATTTATACAAGTCATTGACGTAAATTTAAAACAAAAGGGGTCCTAGAATTGATCCCTGGGGAACACCGCATGTGTTGATCATATTATCTGTTTTACTACCATCGTAAGTGTTGCCTGTAATTAGAAGAGTTTAGTTTGAAATTATGGATCAACCAGTGTCACCACTATATAAAAAGGTTTCTCCTCAATGCCTTTAAAACGCTCATCCAATGACTTGATTAAGATTGACTTCATAGTCTTTACACCTGCATTATTGCAGAATATTGTGTGTCTTCTCTTCAGAATTTTTTGTTGCGTTGTTGTTTGAAATTAGGCTTAGCTAATTAAATGTAAAGAAATGTAAATACAGATACCAAAACAAGCATAAAATTCAGAGACTATAGAATTACTAAAACATTGATTTGTAAAAATCAAATATTAGGTATACATGTTATCACGGGCAAGAAAGATGTAATAAATATCTGACCAAAATTCAGAAATCCGGCCAAAATTATGCCAGATTTGCTAACATTTTGCCAGAGCCGGATTTGGGTTGGATTTGTAAAAATGGCTGGATTTCGGCTGGAGCAGGAGCCGGAGCTGAAATTCGGTACAGCCCTAATATATATATATATATATATACATATATATATATATATATATATATATATATATATATATATATATATATATATATATATATATATATATTTATTTATTTATTCATATACATTTCAAATTACAATAGTCTAAAATAGTTTTTGCTAAGCTTATTTAATTTATGTATGTATGTATGCATGCATGTATGCATGTATGTAATATTTGTTGTTTTATTTCATGTTTTTGCTTCTGTATGAGTTTGTGACTTTCATTACATGGTTTCAATAAATTTATTAAGTAATAGAAGTTATCGAGTAAGAATAGGGTTTGAATTTTTTATTCCTGGTCTCTGGTCACCACGAGCTACAAAAGTTTTTAAAAACTTGTAAATTGATAAAAAACTTCTTTTTATAAAAATTTTTATAAAATATGGCTTCAAATTTTGGAGCTTATTATTTTCAGCCTAGAGTCTCACTGTCTATATATAAAAGGATTCTTATTTCAAAATAGATTTTTTTTACATTAAATGTCTCACTGATATAGATCAAAGTCTAAAAGTATTTCTAATATCTGAAAATAATTTAAGCTTTTTTTCACCATATATCAGGAATAAATAATGAATTTGTGACTCACAAAACTGTGAAGTTCCAAAATAGATTTTTTTGGAACTTGCTATCCCTACTATCAATTAATTATTATTTTTTTTTCAGAATCAGCTTGTAATGCCAGAAAAGCTTTTGTTTGTTTCCACACTTAATGGAAGTTTATTCGCAGTTAATAAATACATTGGTGACATTAAGTGGGCAATGAAAGAAAGTATGAGTTGAATTTTACTTAGTAACTTAACATGTGACATAAAACTAAAAAATATTTCTCAAATAGTAATTAAACGTGTAATCAAAGAGACTGATCTTTCAAAAAAGCTTGAGCAAGGTCCACTGCCAAGGTCTGCTTAAATATTGATAAATTTCAATAATATTCAATAACAGTAAATTAAAATTTGAAGTAAATTTATATGATTAATAATGTAACTTTTGTAATGTTAATCAAAAAATTTACCTCAGCAAATTTAAAATGAGCTAATTTACTAAAACAAGATTTTTTTTTTCAGTTTAAAATCATTTTTTGAATTTAAAAAATCATTTCTTTATTTGAAGGTTTTTTTTTTCTATGGATACATTATTTATAGTTAATTTTTTTAAAGTTGTATAACTTTTAAAAAAAAGTTTAAAAATATAATATAGCTATATTTTTAAACTTTTCTTTATTGTATTTGTATCAAAAAAGTGTTAAAATTAACAAATTAAAAACTGTCCCCATTTAAATGATTTTTTAAATAACCATAAGAATCATTTTTTTGTTATATGTCACAAATGACTGGTTATTTGTCATTTTTTTGTTATTTGTCACAAATATTTCTAGTTCAATCTAAACTTTCATTTTTGATATCTAATTTTTTTCAATTATTTTTGAAAAATATATTCAGTTATTTTGAAATATATAAGTATTTTTTCAAATCCAGATCCAGTTTTAGCTGCACCTCTTGGAGCTCATCCAGGGTAGGTTTTCTATTTATTCACTCTATTTAGTAGATTTACAATTTTTTTTTTATAACTTTTTGTGTAAAATTTTATAAAAAACTAGTTGTCTTCCATGAGGTGAATATAGGGTTTAGTAATAGGAGTTGATTATATGATTTCTGTAAACAAGTTCCCTAACATAAATTTTTGTAAATGTAGGTATAGGATAATTATTTTTATGATATCTTTTTGAGATAAGAAACATGTTTCACAATAATATCAAATAACATGGGATTATATGTTGTTGATCAAATTAAAAAATACCTGTAACTGAGTGTATGCGTGTGCGCGCATGAATGTGTGTGTGTGTACTGAGTTAGATAAATTAAATGAATGAGTTATATATATTAAACTAAGTTATATATATATATATATATATATATATATATATATATATATATATATATATATATATATATATATATATATATATATATATATATATATATATATATAACATTTAGCAAAAAATTTCACATTTCTTTTAAAATATGATATGAAAGCTGATAGTAAAAAAACTTAATAATTTAATTAGTGCATCATCTTTATGTGATAAAGTTTATGTTGTTGATTATATTGAAAATATTATAAAACAGACAATCGTAATCCAGATTCTAAAAATACTTTTGTTTATAGTCATTAATATAATTGTCTAAAATAATAATATAATAGTCTAATAATAATATAATAATATAATGTAATAGTATAATAATAATACAATAATATAATATAATACAATAATATAAAAATATAATAAAATAATATAATAATAATATAATAGTCTAAAATAATAATATAATAGCCTAAAAATACTTCTGTTTATATTCAAAAGTCAAAGAATCAAATTATTTTTGTTGTTAAAAAAATGAATAAAAACATGAGGCATCTAAAGTTCATGCTTAATAATCATGTTAAAGTTTTATAAAGGCAAATTTGGATGTAATCCAGCCTTGGTAAAATGTACATAAAACACAAACACAAACATCAATTACTATAAAATAAAATAAAAAAACAAAGATAAAGGAGCTGATGACAAACAGAAAGAAAGTCAATGATGTGATTATCTCAAATTTAGTTTGTTCTTTTCTAATGAAGAGTCCAAACCTAATTTAATACCCAGCAGTCTTGCAGTTAGCCAAGATGTATATATGGAGCAGTGAATCAAGAAGTGTTTTTTTTCTTTTATTAGAGAGTACTATGTTGTAAGAAGATACTTATTCTGATATTAAAACATTACGCCTTCAAAGTGACACCATTTTTTGAGGTTAATTTCATAAACAATCTAAAATCAATAAACCAACAAACGTTACATAGTATCTTTGATTATTAGATGGTTCTAAATAAAATAGTCATAGTAACAAATTGGTAAGAAACTTGAAACAATTTCATAGTAAAGCATATTTTTCAATAGCAGCTTTATTTTGAATTAATAAAAACAGTAAAACAAGCTCTTTATTTAAATTCTAAATAAAGTTGGTATAATATAAAATAAAAACTAACATTTTAAATTTTGGATTAAAATAAAATTTAATTGAATAAATAATTAGAATAAAATTTAATTAACGTTCTAAATTAACGTTTCAAATTTAATACCATTTTTATTTAATTCTAAATGAATGAAAATAAATACATAAATAAACGTTTTATTCAAATCCTTAGTAAAAAAGTTGAAATAAAAACGCAAAAAGTAAAGTTTTATTCAAAATAAAATGAAAAAACAATTGTTTTATTATTTCTAAATAAAATAATTAAATTAAAACTTGTAAAACTAAAGTTTTATTTTAATTAGAGGGCTGTTTAGTAGCGAGAAAAGTCTTGTTTATAGAACATTGTTAAAGATCTTGCTATTTCATTAATTTTTTTAGATAAATGAGATAGCAAGAAAAATATATATTTAATTTAAAAAGAAGTCAAAAACAATTTAATGATAGAAAAATTTTAATGTTAAAATTAATAGAGAAACTATTGTTATATATAAATACATGTTTACTTTTTAGTTTAAAAATTAAAGTAGAAATGATATTTTAAATTTTCCAAAAATTATAATTAAAAGTTAGCTATTGTATTACTTAGTTTCAGCACAACTAGTATTACTTAGTTTCAGAACAAGTAGAGAGAATCTGATAATCTCTGATGATGCTGATGAAAAATGATCACTGCTTAGGGTTCTATGGTAACTATGTTATTACAAGGGATGAGTTGTGGTTTTATTTAAGGCAAGTTATTCACAAATTAGTTAATGCTTGTTAGGTCAGTGAAAGTGAAAGTTCAAGAACTAAATTAAGGTGCAGGTTTGAGCTAAAAACATGTTTTATATTTTCTCTTTAAGATAACAGTTAATAAATGCCTTGGTGATATTTGAGTTATATACATTGTTGTTCATTTTAGTTATGTTAAAAAAGGATACACCGTTACTAGTCAATACTATGTAAGGAAGTGTTTGAAACCAGTTATCACAAAATAAATAAGGAAAGACCTGTAACAGGCTCTCAAAATTTTAATTTTCTTTATGATAATGCTCAATTCTATGTTACTCAAACCATCACAAATTTTAAATTTGTGATTATCGTAAAATCTTGATTACTCGTGTATAATACGCATGATTGATTTTGCGCGAAATTTCTACGAAAAATTAAAATTCGAATATAATACGCACCCATTACCCACTCCATTACAGCTTTTTCCAGTTCTGGAAAACTAGGTCGTAATCCCTGATTCGCCTTTTTCTTCCTGGGCATAATTTGTAGAGCTTCTTTGCTTTTTTGCCCCAATCGAACCTTTGCTTCGTTTATGGAAAAGTGACTTGCTTCTCGATTTCCGTGAGACTTAGCATATTTAACTATTGATAATTTTTCTGCTGCTTTATAGGACCGTCTTGAAGACATTTTTACGGAAATAAATAAAATAATAAATTTTTGTACTTGCAACAACTATCACTTATTAGATGAACGCGTGTGCGATACGTACAGTGAGTTCGGTTTTGGTAACCTTTCTTTAAACATGCGGATGAATTATGGAGTAAATATGTGAGCAGCTGTGCTATACGTTTGTTCATTGTTTAAAAACAACTATTTTTTTGATCTTGAGTGTAATTCGCACCCCCATTTTTTCGGAAGAAAATGTGAAAAAAAAGATTTTACGGTATATAATTCATGACTTACTGTACTTGCCAGACATTATAAAGTTCGCCACCTACTGTACTTGTCAGGCTTAGCTCCATTCGATTATTAGTTATTTAACTTAATAAATAAAAGTCCTGATGACTATAATGATATCAAAAGTCAAAAAAATTACATAAACAAACCATACCCAGAGAAGAGCATAAACAAACCATACCCATAGAAGAGCATAAACAAACCATACCCAGAGAAGAGCATAAACAAACTATACCCAGAGAAGAGCATAAAAAAGTTTGAAAAATGACTTGAAAGGATGCAACTTTGTATAGATAATTATGGACATTATTTTGAACATTTAATACAATTAAATTGAAAAAAATTCATTTATTTTTAATTTTAAAAGGGATTCTACAAACTTTTCTAACAACTTAAGATTAGATGAAAACAATCATTTTCCAATCATTATAAGTTTGATAAGAGGACAATTTTTTAACTGTGTATTAATATTTTTAAGGTGTATCAATATATTTACAGCCCCATTTTCTGCTTTGTTTTATTAAAACCAGCTCTCAAGTATTACCCTGTGTCTCATAAGTATTAGCCTGTGTTGTTTATTAACTATTATTTTATGGAGGTGATACACAGGTACAGTAATGGTACAGTAAAAAAATGTAATGGTACAGGCATACCTGTACCATTACTTTTCATGACCCCATTAATTTGAATACATAGCTAATTAAATTTAAATTAAATATATAAACAAATAAGAAAGTAAAAAATTAAAAAAAAAACTAAAACAAAAACAAAATTTTACTAGAAACACAACATTGTATTTTGAGTTATTAAAAAATTGTTGTGGATATTTTAATGTTTTATACAAAGTTGACAAATTTAATCTTTTTTTATTTGATTTAGACCAACTTTTCTACCAAACCCTCATGATGGTACATTATATGCATATCTAGGTAGTCATGTACAAGACAGCTTGAGAGTAAATATTTTTCATTTAGTTTTACACAGTATATTAACAAACTAAAATGTTTTTTTTTTTTTAATTTTAAGTTATATTGAGATAAAAATATTTATTTGTACAAATATTTATTAATTTTATTTTTTTGATTTTTTTGATAAAAATATTTAAATTTGAATGTTTCTTGCCATTTTTCATAAATGAATTTAGCCTTTGTCATGCCTGAAGATAAGTTCTTACCTATGAGAAAGAAAATATCTAATACATACCCCCAATATAATTGTGGGTAAAAAAATAGGAGCTTGTAATTTTAAGGTGGTAATTCCTCCTTTTGGTAGTATAACAAGAACTAGTCTAAGAAAAATTAGAAAGTTTAAAAAAAAATGCTTCACTCTTCTATGTCATATTTAAATAAGAAAAAGACATAATGGAAAACTCACAACTGTGGAATATTAAACAAAAGAAAAACAACCTAGAAGGTTAAACAAATAAACAAAAAAATCTACTTCAGTATTTTTGTTTACATTAATGTAGGGATATCATATTTAAGTAGAGATTTCATATTTAAGTAAATTTTGTAGAGAGATTGTATACCTATATAACAGAAAAAAATTAAGAAACAGGTATGTCTACTTGCATTTTTTAATTAAAAGCAGTTTTTGGAGCAATTAAATTAATAGAAAAAAAAATGACAAGAATATACAGTATACATGCCAAGTATAAAGAGGTCAATAATTGATTTGCTTTTTCAAACAATATTTTTAAATAAAAGCTTTATGTATTTAGGCAATTTTTTTAAATAAAAGTTTTATGTAAATTTATGTGTAAGGCTGTAAAGGCAATTCTGTTTTCTATTTAACTTATGTTAAATAGGTAGTCATTCTATTATTGCCTTATGTTATTCATATATAGATATTTATTTTATTGTATTAAAAAAAAAGTACTTTAAATTGCCTTGACTGAATTTTTTTGAGGTTTTTCACCCTTTTCACCAGCTTTCCCAAGGAAACAATAAATGTAGCTCTAGCATTTTTTATGATGAACTTGCGAGGGGGAAAAGTATAAATTGATTTTATTCAAAATATTTTTGTTAAAATTTTTTACTGAAGTCAAAATATCTTTAATTTAACAGTAGAGTTTTCATAGAAGTCCATTTGACTATAAACTTCGCCTAACTACGACTTTGAATTGCAGAAAACTCTATGTAATAAAATATCAAAATTTGCAACACTTCAATGAAAATTTAAAATTTTTAAATGCTTAAAAATTAAAAATGTAGCATAATATTTTATTTATAGTAATTTATTAAACTAAAACTTCATTAACTGCTTCGATTTTGTGCAGGTTCGATCACATTCTACTTATTAATGACTATTACACTTAAAATTTAAAAACATCAAATAAAATTTTACAATGTTGGAATATTTTTTTTTAACTTTGTGTCAAATATAATTTAACTAAATATTTCTACTGATATCTTGAAATTGGTCAAGTTTATAATAAAGTCTATTTATTAAAAAAGTTGAAGCTGAAGCAAAAAAATTCAAAAAATAAATCTCTTCAGAAAAAAATAATTTACTTGATAATTAAATCACACATTCAGTTTAAATTAGAAAGTAGTTTTCTGTTTTGTACAAACAATTAATGGAAAGTTATGAAGTCATTACTGCTAACAGATACATTGTAATGTTAACTTTTTAAAAATGTGTTTGTCCGAATGAGAATAAAAAATGTTCTTATAGACTTAATAAAATTAAAAATTTGTAAAATTTTGTATAAATATATATATATATATATATATATATATATATATATATATATATATATATATATATATATATATATATATATATATATATATTTGTATATATGTTTAACTCTTTGATAAGAATACACCTTCAGTACTTATGTTACTTGATCTAAGTGCTGCTTTTGACACTATTGATCAACAAAAACTACTTGGGCTATTAACTAGTGAAATAGGCATAATGGACTCAGCTCACAAGTGGTTTGAATCATTTTTAGTTAATCGTACCCAAAATGTTAAAATTGGTAACTCATACTCTACAAACCAAAATGTCAAATATGGAGCACCGCAAGGTACAGTACTGGGTCCAAAACTATTTAATATCTATATGAAATCACTGTACAAACATCTGAACATAGTCAATGTTAAAACTTTTGGATACTCAGATGATCATCAAACTCTCAAAGCATACCTTCCTTCTTCGCAATATAATGCATTAGTTCTGGATATACCAGAATGTCTTGGACACATCTAAATGGATGAGCAAATCATACTTATGCATTAACCAATCAAAAACAAAAATACTAATTATGGCACCACCTAACATTCAAAAAGATATTATTATTAAAGATACTTTTGTTAACAAGGAATGCATTAGGTTTGTTGACTCCACAAAAAGTTGGGGTGTGATACTTGACAATGAACTGTCTTTGAAAACACAGATAAATAAGATTGTAAAAAGTTGTTACAATATAATCAGCAAAATATCCAAAATAAAACAATTCTTATCGCATAAAGATTTGTGCACCATAGTATGTTTATTAATTTTTTCACAGCTAGATTATTGCAACTCCCTCTACTTTGGAATTGAAAGGTCACTATTAAAAAAACTACAGTCTGTTCAAAATTGTGCAGCAAGACTAGTATTTAAAACCAGAATAGAAAATCAAATAAATGACCAGGTATTTATCAATATTCATTGGCTTAAAATTAGAGAAAGAGTTAATTTCAAGGTTTTATAAATAATGCACAAGTCTATTATCCAGGAAGCGCCAGCATCATTGTGTAATTTGATTCACTTCTCAACATCAGAAAGAACTCTGAAATTAAAAGAAACAATATCCAGCAATCGTTTTGGTGATCGGGTGGTATCCCACTTTGGTCCTAGACTTGGGAATATTCTTCCAAGTATCATTCGAGATGAACAAAACACATCTATTTATAAGAAAAAACTAAAATAATATTTAATGGTGAATAGCGAACTATTCCACCAGAAAACTCTAGAATATTAAAAATTATAAAGTAATATAATAATTTATTGCACAGCTGAGCATGTGTTTTGCCAGCTTACTCTTTATTTGGGCAAAACACAGTAGCTGTGGGTAAACCCATGTATTTATATATATATATATATATATATATATATATATATATATATATATATATATATATATATAATTTTTAGAAACTACCATTTACAATTCCAGAGTTAGTACATGCTTCACCATGTCGCAGTTCTGAAGGAGTTTTATATGTTGGTAAGATTTTGTTTTTAACAAGTTTTTTTTGTTGTTGTTGTTGTTGTTTTTATATTATATTTGTTTTTGGTTTAATAATAATATAATACATTTTACATTTTTGTTATTCTTCTTTTTCTTTTGTCATTCTTCTTTTTTTTAATTTTTCCATTTATTCTGTCATTTTTAATTTTTATATTTAGATTTATCTGTCTTTTCATACCTTTTTATCAAAATTTCTTACTCAAAAATGTTTTTTTACAATTATTATGAAATTAAAATATATTGGTGTTGAGTTACATTAGATGTTTAGATAAGTACTAAATGACTTTATATGGGTGTTAAAATACTTAGGTTAGTGTTACGATTAAATTTCTTTATAATAGACTAAGGTAATTTATCACTGACTTAGATGCCCCCTTTCTTTGGGTGGTTCAAAAAACAACATTATTTAAAAATATCTGCTGGCACCCCCTAATGTGTTCTATATAAAAAAGTAACAGTGATTTCAAAAATTTTATAATTAAAAAAATCTCCTAATTAGAAATCAAGCAACTTAAGGTGCTTGATTCCTGGTACTTAAGGTGTCATGTGCCATCTATGATGTAGTTTTCAATTTATTAAAAACATGAATAATTTATCTAGGGGTCATCCATAAATTATATCACGCTTTGAGGAGAGGTGGGGGGTAGGTGATTTCGGCCTGGTTGGCCTGGATATAACTCTAATATTACTGACCAAACAATAACTGACATGATTTAGGCTATAGGTAATGATAGAGGTAACTAGGATACATCCCTGATAAGTGGTACTTGTTACTCTTTATCAGTGATAAGTAATGTTAGTCACTCCTGATCAGGCTCTCTGAAACATTAGTTAATGCATTATGGTCCAGCTACACCTATAGTTATTTATATATATCTTATACTGCTGGTTTAGGTGAGTAGTCTGACATCATACTGAAATAGTCTGCTGTCAGGGGCTTCAGTGCATACATCGACTGACAAATAGCCTGACTCACAGTGGAGTGCTGCTACAACGACTGAGGGTTTGGCATGAGGCAGCAGTTTTTTCTTTTATTATTCTTCATTTTTTTCTTATTTTTCTGAAAATGCATATTTAATTAAAGTAACAAAAATATGGTAAGTATTTGTTACATACATATGCTATAGTAGATATTTATTTTTCAACTTCATAATGATAGTAAAAAACATTTTTAAGTGAGAAATTTTGATAAAAAGATATCAGAACACTGATATTTTTTATATCTTTCTGCATTCACCATCTTGATGTATATGTTTATATATATAACTATTGTATATTATTATATTGTGTTAAACTTTATTTAATTATGATTTATGTTTTCTTCTTTCTATATATATTATGTATATATATATATATATATATATATATATATATATATATATATATATATATATATATATATATATATATATATATATCTTATACTGCTGAGTTAGGTGAGCATGATGATGTCATACTCACCTAACGTCAAATAGCCTGCTGCCGGGGGCTTCAGTACAATACATCGACTGGCAAATAGCCTGACTCGCAGTGGAGTGCTGCTACATCGTGTGTGTGTATATTATATATATGTATATACCTCTGTGACTGATCCGTTATGATCTATCTTATTTGAGTTACTACTTACAAACAAGTATTCTGTCCCTTCATTTTTTTACTATAATTATGGAGTGGCTCTTAAGGTAGAATCAAACTAGATACTTTTTGAATTAGATACTTCTTGAATGAAGTTCTTCTTGAGTATCCCTTTCTCACTCTTTAATTATCTTTATTTTCTGTTAAATCTCAACTTGGTAGTTAGTGGTTCCTTACAACCTTGTTCATAGTAAATTTGTTTAAAAAAAAGAAATAGTGGGGGTCCAAATCTTTGAATTACAATCTACTATTTTAAAATAGATATCAAAATTTAGGAAAAGACCAAGAGCAGATTAAATCATAATTTATTATTAAAATTTGAATAAGAGTAAAGTTAAATAAAAAGATTGCAGTGAGGATGCAGAGTTTAAATGGTTTAAAACTGTTAATTTATTTCAAAAAATTTTTCACTTAATAAAAGAATACATTCTTTACATTATGTTTTTAAAATATCTGCTAACAGTTTTTGATGAATTTATTCAATCGTGAACTTGTTTAGGGCTTATGTAGTCATCAGTGACTAAATTAATAGTTTTGCAGACCAGACCTTCACATTTTACAGACCACTGTTTATTTTTTACATTGATAAGTAATCTGCATCAAAAACCTTTTTTTTTACTATCTGTTCTATTATCCTTTTTTTTTACTATCTGTTCTATTATTCTTTTTATTTTTATTTAGTAGTATTATATTTATATTTAGTTATAGTAATTTTAGGTTGTGTATGAATAAGAATTCATTATAATAACAAAAATAAAAAAAAGTTAAAAAAAGAATTTTTTAAATCACAGTTTGTCATGTTGTCATAGTTGTTAATTAAATGTTATTAAAACATTTCACATTGTTCATAAATAAACGATAACATTTTAAATAAATGACCTTTTTGTATACCAAAATATTGGTAATAATTTTCTTCATAAAGGCTTGATTTGCAATCAAGTACATTTTAATATTTTTATTATTGCGTAGACCTTCATATTGCAGGCAATGGAAATATAAATAATAAACAAATAAAAATAAAAATATAAATAATAAACAAGTTAAATCTTCTCCCTTTTTTTTGAATTTACAATTTTTTGTTTCTGTCTAAAACAAATTTGTATAATTAAAAAAGATAAAAGTTTAAAGAAAATCAAAGAAAATAAATAAATTTTTGAAGAAAATTGTAAAGTAAATTTACGTAAGTTTTGCTCTAAAACAATAATAGATAAATTTTATAAAAAGTTTATTTATTTAAAGGTTTATTAAAAGATTTATTTAAACATTTTTAAAAAGAATTTTGTCTCAAAGATTTTTAAATTTTAATAAATGTGGTGGTGCAGTAGAAGAGTACTTATTACACAATCAAGCATTATCTAGTTCAAGAAGTACCTAGTTTAAGTAGTACTAGTTTGATAAATACCAAGTTCAAGAAGTACCTAGTTTTAGAAGTACCTAGTTTAAGTAGTACTAGTTTGATAAATACCAAGTTCAAGAAGTACCTAGTTCTAGAAGTACCTAGTTTGAGAAGTACCTAGTTCAAGAAGTACTTTGTTCAAGAAATACCTAGTTTGAAAAGTATCTAGTTAGAGAAGTACCTATTTCAAAAAGTACCTAGTTTGAGAAGTACTTTGTTTGAGAAGTACTTTGTTCAAGAAGTACTTTGTTCAAGAAGTACTTAGTTTGAGAATTACCTAGTTCGAAAAGTACCTAGTTTGATTCCCAACACGTTAAATGCCACTTTATGCATACAGTAAAAAAACAAAACAAACAATAACTTGGTTGGTAAAGTAGTACTGATGTTTTGTATGTTTTTAAACATGTCTTATGTTGCATTTATTTAAACCACTCAAGTAATTCTATTATAGTTATTTAATTAACTTATATTATATTTGAACTATTTATAAACCTTTTTATTTTAAATATTCATTTGTTCAATAACCTGGTAAGCTTACCAATAGTTATAAACAAATTTTTAAAATTTAAAATTTTAAAAATTTTTTTTAGGGCAAAAACAAGATGTGTGGTATGCAGTTGATCCTTTAACAGGTATCAAACATCATCGTCTTACAATGGATGGTATAGATCATATGTGTCCGCCGATTGAAAAGCAATCTTTGTTTTATATAGGTCGAACAGGTAAATATTTTAAATGAGAGCTGGTGTTATTATAAACTTTACAACTTAGCGATGTTCTTAATGTTTACAACATATTTTTAGAATATGTTGTTTCCATGTTTGAAGTTCATTCTGGTAAGAAGAAATGGAATGTTACGTTCTATGAGTATTCTGCTAAAGAAATGGAAGAAAATAGTCTTCCAGGTTATTAGTTTTTTTATTTACTTTCTTTTTTTTTAATCATTCACCTTCCCAAGGTTGAGAATGCCACTAAAGTCAAGGAGGCTACTTTTGTGGTTACAACCCTTTCTTAACTCTATAACTCTAAAACATGAACCTCGACGAACTAGGCTGCTGTGCAGTTGAGTGTGGTACTACCAGTTGAGCGTGGTACTACCAGGGACATGGTGGGAATTGAACTTGGTTTTTTATTATTTATCTATAAATAATAAAAAACTTAAATGTTTAATACATTAAAATACACAGTTTAACATAAACATTTATTACAAAAATATGAAATTAAGATAAACATAAATAACACTCAAATGTTATCATTGAGATAAAAGGTGTCAGTGACGTATCCAGAAATTATTTGGGGATACCGGTCTTTAAATATAATTATATATAATATAACTCGCCCTAGTATTTTTACTTTTCGCCCTAGTATTTTACTTTTTTACTTCGCCCTAGTATTTTACTTTTTTCCAAATAAAAATGTAAATAATTAACCAAAATATTACATTTAAAATGTTACATTTATTACAAAATTACAGCTTTTAAGCCAACATCGGTTTGCCACTAATTTTCATTTACATGTTTTATTCGCTTACTAATATAAAGATTATTGTTTCATAAACAAGCGATAACTATAACATTTAATAAACAATATTTGTATGTTTCTTTTATATAGAAACTCATATAAAAGTATTTTTAAAATGTTAATGTTTATATATAAAAATGCTAAGTGTTTCATATTTTAATCCAATCAAAACATGCGTTTTACATATTAATCCAATTGTAACATATTCCGTATTTTATCAATGTGAATTCGAATTAAGCATTCTGATTGACTTGAAATACATTTATACTGTGTTTTAAAAGTCATTTTTCAAATGTTACTTTTTCTAGGTAACATAACAAATTTTATCATCATAATTATTATAACAAATTTTATCACAAAACAGCAAGACAATAAGTAACAAAGAATTTTATTTTATTTTAGTTTTTTAAGTGCTAATATAAAATTATTTTAAATTGAGTGTGGGCTGAAATTTGGGGGCCCATACCAATATACCGGTATCAAAATTGGTCTGGATACGTTGCTGGTTTATAAATAAGGGGCACAACCTAAAATTATACTACTAAATAAAAATAAAAAGGATAATGGAACAGATAGTAAAAAAAAAAGGTTTTTGATGCAGGTTACTAATCAATGTAAAAAATAAGTAGTGGTCTGTAAAATGTGAAGGTCTGGTCTGCAAAACTACTAAATTAGTCACTGATGACCGCATAAGCCCTAAACAGGTTTACGGTTGAATAAATTCATCAAAAACTGTTAGCAGATCTTTTAAAAACATAATGTAAAGAATGTATTTTTTTATTAAGTGAAAAAATTTTTGAAATAAAAATTCTTCCTGCTTGTCCTAGTTTTTTTAGTAAGTTCTTTTTTTATTTCGATTTAATAAAAAAAGTAAGAAATGTTAAAATTTGTAAAATGTTAAAAAAAAATGTTAAAAAGCTTTAAAATATTAAATCTAATACACGGTACAAAAGAGTGCAGGCTACAAAGGATATGGGGGATGGAGGAAGCAAAACTAAAAAAATTGAAAAAAAGTATTTTAATTGTTATAAAACTGTAATTATATATTGTTAAAGCTTCCTGCAAAAATTTTCAAAATTATTGTTATACTTAAAATTATATCCTTTAGCTAAAGGATATAATTTTATTGGATGCAGTTGGTAAAGATATAAAATTTGTAAAACAAGTAAAATATTGTTTTACAAATTTTTTATTATTAAATTGTCAATTATAATGTTAACCCAAACAAAAATAAACAAATCATAAATATTAAAAAGTAAATAAAGTATTAAAAATGAATAGAAATGAATAGAAAGTATTTAATGTTTGTATATTTTCTATTAATAAGAAAAAATTTCTTATTATTAGAAAGTATTCTATAATAAGTAAGTTATTAAGTTAATTTCTATTAATTTAGAAATTATACAAAATACGTAAATTATTTCATGTTTTGATTGAACTATTTAACTAGATTTAATAATAAATATGTATTTTGCTGGTTTACAATTGGTTTAACAATTGATTAATATCAACAATTGATAAATATATCTCTGAGTTGTAATAAGTTATTTCAATCGCCAGACTATTTTACTGTTACTACTATACTATTACTATATTACTATTATACTGTTTTCAACTTCAAGACTTCCTCCGATCGAATTGGCGCTAGATCTACCAATAAACATCATTCACAAATTTTTATTACTGTCTTCACATTTTTTCTAGATATGTGTTCACTATATCTGTACATCAGATATAGTGTTTGATTGACTCCAAAAGTATGGAGAGTATGAAGCGACTTTACATCAGCTGATGTGACATTAAATGCAATTGCAGAATAGGTTGGATGCAGCCAGTTCTGGGGTACCCTTGTTTTCCAGTCTAGTTTTCTCAGCCATAAACAATCTTCGACTATTTCTCAAGGTATATAGAAATATGGCTTGAGAACTACTTAAAGAATGAACTATGTTAATAGCTAAAATTTGCTGTGTAATTCTTCCTATGGGAGTTTTCAGTAGGTTTTCACGTTTCCAATCTACATTGTTGCCGTGTTTATACACTCGTAATCCAAGTATACAACCGCCAATAAGTTTTTCCTGCAACTTTGAACCCAGTCCATATTTTTTAAAATGCTATTGAACCATGCAACTTGACACAATGTTATTGTTAGCAATCATATCATCAATGAATAATTTCATCCTAGACTTGATAACTTTGTCCGATTATAAAACTTTTGTTTTTAAATTTTAGTCATTATTCTGGGTGCTACATTCAAATCAAAACCCAATCTTTTTAGGCAGTAATGTTGCCTTTCATATTCCGTAACATGATATTTCCACAATGCATTGACAAAGCATTGCTTAGTCAATAATATATAAACCCAATATAACAATCATCCAAACCATATTCATTTTTATTTAAAAAACTTTTTATCTTTAGATCAAGTTCACTTTATATCAAGTTCAAGTGGAAGAATGGTGACTATGGATCAGCTTACTGGTTTCTAATTTCTTTTTAGTTTAATTTCAAATAAAAGTTTAACTAAATTTAATATCTCACTTTTGTAATTTAAATTTTTAAAGTTGTTATTATAGATATCTCTTTAAAATTTCAAAATAAATTATTTAATTTTTTGTTTATATAATTTGTTTAGTTAAATTTCAGTTTTAAGTATTCTTAAAATTCTCTGATTGGTCAATTTTACCTAGTATAAACTTTTATGCTATATTATCTTATTTCTGCATTTTTGGTGTTCATGGTGGACAAGAATAAAATTTGATAAAATAATTAAATACTTAAAATAAGTGAAAATTTCACTCTAAATACAATTATAATTTTCACTTTTAACTTTCAGGTGAAATATCATGGGAGACTGAGTTTGGAACACCTATTGTTGCTATTTATCAATGGCATCCTGATGGTTTTCAGAAAGTTCCTATAACATATGTAGCAGAAGAGACTCTTAACATGATAGTCTCATCTGCTACAAGCGGAGAAAATGGAAGTCGTTTTCTTGGGAAAGGAAATGAATTTGTTTTAAAGTAATTTTTTATGTTTTATGAAATAATTTTTTATGTTTTATTAATTAATTTTTTATGTTTTGTAAAATAATTTTTTATGTTTTATTAGGTAATTTTTTATGTTTTATAAAATAATTTTTTATGTTTTATTAAGTAATTTTTTATATTTTATTAAGTAATTTTTTATATTTTATAAATCTGTTAATACATTTTTAATATTTGCTTAGTAACATAATTTTAGCAAAATTATTTTCATTTTTTTTATATAAATAACAATAACTTAAAAAAATAATTTGATTTTTTTAAGTTATTGTTATTTATATAAATGATTTTTAAGTTGTTTTTTTAATTTATTAACAAAATAGGCCAACTTTATATATTGGAAAGCATAATGGTGGTCTTTATGCCATACCATCATTAGTTGATGAAACCAATGTAGTCATTGATGTAAGTCTTAATTTTTGAAATTATTTATATGTGTGTGTGTGTGTGTGTGTGTGTGTGTGTGTGTGTTTGTGTGTGTGTGTGTGGTTATGTGTATATATATGAATTTTCAGAAAAAGAAGAAAAAAATTAAAGAATTTTGAAAGAAAAGATTGCTGCCCCATGTATATTTTACATATATTTTACATATATATATATATATATATATATATATATATATATATATATATATATATATATATATATATATATATATATATATATATATATATATATATATATATATATAGAGAGAGAGAGAGAGAGAGAGAGAGAGAGAGAGAGAGTGTAAAATATATACCAATTTTAAATGGAAAAATTACTGGGGCCCTAATAATACTACAAAGTTTGTTTTTTAAAAATTTGTCATGCTAGTACTTAAAAGAAGTAAAATGAAAAAATAATTGTTTTTGTAGAAAAAAAATAATTAAAAATAAAGATTAAATAAATCTCTTTACATTTGTGCTTCTTTTGAGTACATGATACAGGCATATACACTATCACTCTCAAACAATCATTTTTTACACAGACTAATTTACACAAATTGTGGCTTGAAAGATTAACTTGATTAAATATTAAATTTTATTAATTTTACTTGATTAAAGATTAAATAATATTTAAAAGTGAGGACCATTTAATTTTTTAAGTTTGTTAAAGTAGAATGAAGTCTGATTGTGATTTGAATACAAAATTTATACTTAGAAGTAAATGCTAATTAATTTACTTGTATGAATCTTGATAAAATACAGTATAAATTATTTTTTAATTCTTAAAAAAAAACAGCAATAAATTGTTAGGAAGTCACTTATTAAATTTTACAGTTTCATCATCATCAGAAATTTTTTTTTTTTTTCATTTCTTATGAATTTTTATTGACTGTGTAAAATGTAAAAGTTTAATAATACTAATTTATATATAAATTAGTAGAATTATATATATATATATATATATATATATATATATATATATATATATATATATATATATATATATATATATATATATATATATATATATATATATATATATATATATATATTTGAATGTTGTATAGCCCAAGATGCTAATGATTGCTGGTCCCAAAAAACATGAAAATAGCAACAAAAATCAGCAAAGATCAATACCTATTCTAATGGGTTATCACACAGTCCCTAAAATTTCAATGTCTACCCTTTCTCCAAATGGTCTTCTGACATTCAATGATAAATCTGTGCCAGAAAAGTCAAAGGATGAACAGATGGGAGGAACTATATATCCTAAACACCAACAAAAAGAACTTTTGAAGTTTTTGGAAGATGCTAAAAGTTATCAAAATATGATTTATATGGTGCTGGCATCTGTTGGCATACCATTGTTTATCATACTTTTAATTTATTTTGAAGTAAGTTAAAAGTTATTATGAATTTACTTACTATTTTGTTCATTTAAAACATTTTTTAAAACTACTAAAGAATTAAGTTTAGTTGTTTATATTGCAAAGACTTTAATTTAGAGACAAACTATTTTTACTTTATATTATAAATAAGTATTCATTTGTGATATAAAAAGGTTTATTTATGATATACTACCACTAGGAAAAATTTAAATTAGGAGTTTTATATTAAGGTTTCCTTCTATTTGTTAAGTTGTTTTCTTAGCTAAGAAACCTCATCTGCCCAAGTTTATTGATTTTAAATTTAATAATCATTTAATTCATTAGCTGTTTTTACTCCCGAGTTAAAACTTAATGCAATACTTAATACTTAATGCAAATGAAAACTTCTAGTACAAAAGGTGATAAAAGTATAAATGGTTTCTATTCACATATAAAAAAAAAATGGAAATATAAAAGACAGAGCAAAAATGGCCAATATATCCATTCAAAACAATAATTTCAAAGATAGAAATTCCAAATATAGAAATTTACATGAGAAACAAAAAACATATTTTTCTTGAGAATAAAATATTATATCCAACATAAAAAAGTATCAAAAATACTTATAAAAACAAGTTTAATTATTATATAGCTTTTAGTAAATGGTATGAAAATTATCAAACTTAGATTTAGCTTTTTGAATACAATCAACATTAAGAACGTTACTTAAATTCTGCTATGTAGGAACTTTTGAAAATTAGTCTTAAGTGAAAGAAAGACCTAAAAATGGAACAAAATAATTAATTGAATACACATAATACACATTAATTTTTTATGTACTATTTATTTATTTAAAAACATTGTGACTAAACAGATAACAAATAAGAAACTTACTTTGTGAGGCTGTTTTTTTTTGTGTGAAAGTTTTAAGATTTATTTTTGCCAGTTTGGATTAACAACTCTTTTTAAAAAAGCAAGGCTAAAAGTAAATAAAAAATTAAAATTTGCATTAACTCATTTATACAACCATCATTACTAGGTTGCTCCATTCTAAATGACACTGCATCGGTTTAGCTCCGCTATCCTATGTTCATCTCTTTCATTTTGGTGATGGTTCAATTCATCTCACCTAGCCTGGTTTCTTTCATTTTGATTAAGGTCTAATGATTTCATTTATTAAATTATCAGAAATAACTAAGCATCAAAGAAGTGTGTAAAAATCATGCTTAATATAATAAAAGTTGAATTTTTTTTTTAAGATTGAACTTTTAGTTTTCCTTCTTAACTTATACCACAGAAGTGAGGTCAGATTTAAGATCAGCTGGCTTTTCTAAGCAATTGAAAAGAGAAGAGTTTTTGTCAAGACAGGAGTATAAAGTTAAGTCATCAGCAAAAGGAAACAAAACAGGACCAAGGATAGAACCTTGAGGTACCCCAGAAGTTACTGGAAATGAAAAGTCTCGGCCTTTTGAGGATAACTTTTATGAAATGGTTAGAAAGAAATGGTTTGATAATCTCAAAGACTTTCCCAAATATACCTTATGAAGCAAGCTTATTGAGAAGACCAATATGCTAAACTTTGGTTGAAAACTTTAGATATGTCAAAAGCAATAGCCCTAGCCTCACCGCCTCCACCTAATGCACTATAAAATCTTTTAGTCACAGCAGTTAGCAAGTCAGCCTTAGAGCGTGAGGATTAAAAAATGTGTTGATTATTTACTTTCAATAAGGTTGCAAACAACCACTGTTAAGTTATGAGTAAAATAGCAGATAGGGATAAAAAGCTAGTAAATAGTTAACTGAAGACCTAAAAAAATTTAGGTTGTGTATAAAAGGAAAACATAAAGATTGGTAAGAGTTAAAAGGACAGATTAGAAAAATGTTTTATCAAACAATATTAGTTAGAGAAGATTAAAGTGATTTAGGTATCAGCATGTAGAGAGGTAGCAGCTTCAGGATTAAATGGTAAAGGTAGAAGTAAGAAAACTTGAATAGAGTGCCATACATATTGTATGAATGATCTTTAGTTAAGGAAAGAAAATTCTCTAGATTGTTTATATTAGAGAAACAGCATAAATAAGGAAGGCCAAAGCCTTATGATGATGATCATAATGATGGCAATCATTATTATGATGATCATGTTGATCGTATTGATGTTTATATAAGCATATATATACAAAGTATAACTTCAATTTTGAATAAAAAAAATACAATTTGGTATGTTTATAAAGCCCCAGTCACAAACCTATCCCTTGCCCCAGCTATATTTTATCAAACCCAACCTCAGCCCGGTCAAGTTTCAACCCTGGTTGCTTCCTAGATGGAACGTGAGAAATTTGTTGATCAAAGGCTCAACGACCTTGCTAATAACAGAATGAATATTGATTGGGTGATAATTGGAGGGGCCAGAGTGTTATCCCAATTTTTAAAAAATTGGTACAACAAATCATATTTTCCAACAATCAGGAAAATAAGACTCAGTCAGGCACTTATTAAATAGTTTAGAGAGAATTGAAGAAAATTCTGGAGATGAATTTTGTAAGACTGTGACAGGAATGTTGTCTGGACCAAAAGCCTTAGAATAGTTAATTTGAGATATGACTTTAGCAACCAAAGCTGGAATTGTCTGAATGTCTAACAATGGGTTAACCTGTTTAATTGGAGTGGAAGAAAGAAAAAGGCCATACGATTCGAGAGTCGAATTTGAAGAAAAGTTCTTCACAATAGTTCAGCGTTATCCTTGGGAGAAGTAATAAGATTATTCCTATGAATGAGAGTTGTAATATTAGACCCACCCTTGTTAATGACGCTGTTGAGGATTTTCCCAAAGTCTCAAGAGCGTAACTTCTGAGATAAGATACAAGATTTAGTAAACTGGGATTAATGGAGCTTATCATAAGATAGCACCTATTTAAATTGATATTTTGCAATAATCTGTTTGTTCTCAAGAGAGTTGTTCTTTTAAAAAAGATGAGAAAATGAGATTGATTAGATATAGCAGCTGCACAAGAAGGTGAAAACCATAGAGTAGAATGAGGCTTGATTTGGAATCAACAAGAAGGAATAAAAGTTTATATTCCTGCCTGGATCCGAGAGGTTCCAGGCAGGAGGAGAAACATTTTTCAACTGAGAGTGAAAAGATATCAGTTCAAAGACCGTCACAAAGTAAATTACAAAAAGAATCCCAGTTTTAGGGTAGTAGAAGATTTAAGAAGATCTAAATAGTGCAAGGTTATAAAATTTATAGAGATAATTGCATGTTGAGAACTACCTTTGGGAGAAAAAGGAGAAACTGAATACAGACTAAGGTCAGAGACAAGACATAAAACAAGAAGTAAAGGGTAATGATTAGGGTTGTCAGGAAACCAAGTCACAAAGTTAACTATCTGAGTTAGAGATAGAGAATTGTAGAAGTTATAGGCTTCAGTGCCAGCAGAGTCAGTGGCATTACAGCCAAGCCATTCAGTGTGAAGAGAATTAAACATCAACATTGCCAGAGAGGTAAAAAGAAAATGATCAAGAAAATGATTTTGATTAGAAGTTACATTTAAAAGATTGCAGTCATGGGAAGGAGAACAATAAAGAAAAAAGTAATAGATAAAAAAAGTAATAGAAAAGGTGCTAAAATGGAAAATGATTCGGATTGTCTGGAAAACAAATGTGAAAATTGAGTATTTGTGTTAGAGATTAAGTAAGGTTAATGTTGTGGGCCTTAACACCTGCAGAGTCACTGTTACTAGAGTCAAGCCATTCATTGTGATGGACATTAAAGTCATTAACTGGGTCCCAGGCACTTTCTAGGTAGACCAGGGCAATCATGCTAGCAGGGAAAATTTACCATTTTCTTACCTTTGTTTTACCAAAAAATAACAGTTATATTTGCCATACCCACATTACTAAGATAATTTTTATACTTTTTATTTTTAAATTATAATTTATTAACAATTGACTGATAATAGTTGGTATTTGTTGTCATAGTTACTGATTAATGGTTGGTACTAAATTCTATTGATTGTTATCATAGTCAAAGCTCAATTATATTGGTTTTAACTTTTAAATATAATTTACTTTTTATTGTTATTAAAATTGATGTTATTGCTTTTTTTTCAAGTTATAAAGTTTTATAAGCTATGTTAGGGATACTGATTTTTTTAAATCTGTTAGTTTTTCACTAACTTTTCATGTTTGTGGTAAATTGTTTAAATAGATTTTTTTTTTCTAGATTAATTAAAAGCAATTTTGCCACAAAATGATAAAATACCCTACAATTAACAAAAAATGTTATGTACAATATTTTTTATAAAATTTTCAAAATGATAAAGTAAACCTATAATTAATAAAAAATGTTACATACAATGCTTTTGGTAAAGTCTTATTAAGAAAATAGTTTTTGTAAAAAAATAATAATAATAATAAAGTATTAAAAAAAGTTTTTAAAATGCCTTCTAATATTTAGTATTGCAAATTCTAACATCCAGTGCAATGTCTATTCGTTGAAATGTCATGCATCCAGTGAAATGTCTATCTGTTTTCTCTATTTTTTTAAACTCAACTACTTCTAACTTTTTGCTTATTTTACTAACTCTTGCTCATTTCGTTTTTCCTCAAACTCGCTTACTCTTGGGCCGTCAAAGTGGGTTGTGATGCTCATTAATGAGATAAAGTTGTCTTCACGGGTCTTGGTATGAGACTTTTATATGGCAATTAGCGGGAATAAAAAAATGCATGTTAAGATAAAAGTACTGTTTTTATGATCAGAAATTTTTTAAGCAAAAAGATGGCTCTTAAATAATGATATGAAAACTTCTTTTATACTTATTTGACGTTGCAATAATGCTGGTTTGTTGTTGGTGTCATTCATCTGAATTGTTGTTGTATTATCTACATTCAAAAGTTAACTGTAGTTAAGTGAGATACTTTGACAATATGCGTACAGTAAATTAATTATGAATATTAGAAAATATAATATATTATCACTTTTCAATGTTTTATTACAGGTAAACATGAAATTATAAGGTGGTGTAAAAAACCATGACATAGCAATTATAAGTTGGTGTAAAAAACCATGACATAGCAATTACAAGGTGGTGTATAAAACCATGACATAGCAACTATAAGTTGGTGTAAAAAACCATGACATAGCAATTACAAGGTGGTGTAAAAAACTATGACAGCAATTATAAGGTGGTGTAAAAAACCATAGCATGGACATTTAAAAGTTGTTTAATATCAAAGTAAATGTTATATTTAATACAAATTACAGGCAACAATACATAATTTACACAATAACTAATTTATACAATATCTAATTTATGCAATACATAATTTATACAATAAATAATTTTAATTATTTTATAACTTTTTTAATAGCGGAATTTAACAAATATTTCTCCAACAATCTTACCTTCCACACCAAAAAGTTCTCAGAATTCAATAAGCTCCAATCATTCAAATTCATCTACAAGTTCCTTATCAGGTGGCTCAACAGATCACTTTTATCCAATAGGTATTTTGTTTTATAACAATTGAAATCCTAATATAAAACTATCATCATATGCTATAATATAATAGTTAAAGTATGGTGGATGATCTTGGTATTGTATTATGATCTTTTCTTCCTGCTGTTATTTAATGTAACTATAGTAAATCAATTTAAAAATTGATTTTCAATTTTAATAAATTTTAAGTTTATTGTTTAATGATTATTTAGAAGATGAAGAAGGATATGTTCACATAGGAAAGATTCAATTTAATCCCAAACACCTTCTTGGCAGAGGTTGCGAAGGAACTGTTGTCTACAGGTTTCAATTACTTTTTAATAGTTTATTGCTATTAGTTTTGAGCTCACTTCGCCTTTATTTAGGGTTGTGGATTTGGTTGGTTACATTTTAGGTTTTTTTAAAGTTTAAACAGTTTTTTCAGATTTTTTATTTATTTTTGATTTCCATCATTTAATTCTCTTAACTATTGTGGAATTTCTAGCATTCCCCCTCCCCATTTTTTTAGTATTATTTAATACTTTAATAATAAACTCCAAATTTTCTGGAATGAGCAAATTTTTTAAACTTTCAATCAAAATGAAAATGTTATTCATTTCTAACAACATAAAGTTATTTAAAAATAATATTTTTTTAAAAAAGTAAATATTTGTATTTAAAAACCTTTATACTAAAATTTATATTTTAAAACATATTTTTTTATTGAATTATTTATTGAATGGGTATGACATTTTTGTAATATCATTTAATAATATCATACTGTAACATAACACTAATATTATATATACTGTAATGTTAAATATAAAAGTAATTAAAGCTTTCCATATCAACTTAAAGTGTTAATTTATATTTGATACTTTTTTGGTTATATGTAGAGGAAAATTTGATGAACGAGATGTTGCAGTTAAAAGAATTCTTCCAGATTGCTTCAGTTTTGCTGATCGTGAGGTAAATTCTTAAAAGTATAGTGTGTATATATATATATATATATATATATATATATATATATATATATATATATATATATATATATATATATATATATATATATATATATATACATATAAAACTATAAATGAATGTTTAGATAAAATCTCTGGTGTCACACTGAAATTGCTTGCTGCCAGGGGCTTCAGTACATACATCGACTATCTTATAGTCTGCTGACACAAAGGAGTGCCGCTACATCGACTGAGGGTTTGGCATAGGGGAAGCTATCTTTTTTTTCATTATTCTTTATTTTTTCTTCTTTTCTGAAAACAACAGATGCTATAAAGATAGGAAAAACTCGCAAAAACACACAAACTCGCATATATACACACAAACTCGCAAACGCACTTCTTTTTTATCATTTTCTTGAATTTTAAGGTCACTACTCATCGTGTACTGAAATGCTGACCATATTTCTCTACATTCGTGAAGAAATCTTTATATAATTAATTTGTTTATGCAACATAATTTTTTTATTTGATAATTTACATACATAATTTTTTTTACATGCTTTATTTTTTTTACATATATAATTTTTTTTATTTGATAGTTTACTCACAGGTTTCACTTTCATATCGCATCTTTAGGTTATAAGGAGCTATTCTTATTCTTGTATTCCGTTACTGTACTCTATGTGCCTAGGCAATGTTCCTTCATAAATATCCAGTTTATTCCAAGCACTTTAATTATATATTTTGATCTCTTTGTTACAAAGTCATCTAAGTTTATGCTTAAAATTTTATTCAATAATTCTTTGCATTCAACCTTTTTTACCTGGGTTTTTTTTGACAGGCTTTTCAAGTGGAAACAACATTGTTTCTTTAGTTTGGTTATTAATATCATTGCTGAAAAAAGAGAAACTCACAAGGTCTTCAGTTAATTACCATAAATGTCCTGGAATTTATGGCAGATTTAGCCACTTCTTTGTAAAATATGTTGAAATTATTTAATTTCTTAATCAGGTCATTGTAAAGAGAAGATTAAGAGATTGGAACCTGAAACCAATATTCCATGTAAATCAAATAAGAAACAATGAGAACAATCAAAAGATTGTTCTCATTGTTTCTTATATGAAATTGGTTTCAAAAAAAGTAGATTTTAATAGAATACAGTGCTTTCACCATCTATGGTGCTTGGTGCATAGCACCAGGAGTATGAAAAGTTTTTCTGCTATGACCTGGATGAGTTTTTCCTAAAATAAGTGTTGACAGTTGCAAAAATTCTTTGTGCTCATAGCAATATTATTTTGTTCTTTGTAGCATATTTACAGAAAAATCTATTGCTGATGGTACAAGCAAGCCATACACTTTAAGATCTGCATCAGTTAAGACCCATGATTCCAAATTAAGTTTACTTCACTGATGATCAAATTGTGGAAACAACTAAACCTCTAATATGGTCTAAAATAAATTTTATAAACATGGGATAAAATCACTTCATGAACATGGTGTTGACAGGCTGTGTATGACAGGCATTCCAATTAATATTTCTAGCAAGGTACAAGCACCTGGATAAATATCCTTGTTGCTTGAAGTAGTGTTCAAACAGAATGCTACAATTTTGTCATGAAATGTTACAATCTTTTAAAGCTTATTCTGTTGTGTAACTCATTTGTTCACCAGTGCCTCTGTCCAGTGTTGTTATCAATTTTTCTAATACATTAGTTTTATGACATCATATCTTGTCACTAATATAGGCATTGGATCCACTTCATTTCTGCTGTTAAAATTTATTTGAACACCTCATCTCTGCTATTCAAATTTATTTAAACACTTTATCTCTGCTGTTCAAATTGGGTAAAAGTTTTCCATCTCCATGTACAGAAAATTGTTTGAATTCTAAAATAATTTTTTTCATAACTTTACAATTTTTAATAAGCGCACATTGAAGAAGTTTATATTATGTAGAAAAATGTCCAATATTGGCACCAAACCCTTGGTGACAAATTGTAAACAAAACCAAAAAAACCAGAAGTGAATTTTCAATTGATCAAAAGCTGAATAAAATGCTGGAGTAATCACTTGCTTTCATTGTCTTCACTCTATTTTCAGTTTCAGTTTCTTTGTTGATGATAATAAATTCATCTACTTCATTATTGGTAAGAGGAGTCTAATTTTGTCAAAACAAAGTCTTTGGCAATAGAGCACATTCCTCCTTTGTTTCTATTTAGCTCTTTTGTTTCTTTTTTATCATTTGTTTTTTTTTTGTCTAAAATTTGCTGTTCTTTTTTGTATAATTCACAATAAACTGAACTTATATAGTCTATTCTTCTTCTCTTTGTTGTATTAGAAACGTCTTCTTCTATCGTTATAAATTTTAAGCATCTTCATGAGCAATATCAATCAGTTCTTCAATTTCTTGAGGAAAAGTTTCTTCATTTCTTTGCTGAGTTAATGCTTTGCTGCCTTTATTCCTTTTCAGTTATCTGTATTTCTCAACATGTTTTTTAACATGTGTTGTAACATGATAACATTGCTTTTTCATCGTTGTAAAGTTTCATTTCTTTCTCTTTTCTACAAATACTATCATGTTTGCTGTTCCATCAACTAAAACTTGTTCTTGTTTGACTTGCCATTCATCTAAGTCTCACTCGTTTACTGTATTCATCCCTGATTGCTATAAAAACTTTTATTTGTCTAATTATTTTCCCCACACTTCAACCCTTTGAAACTCTCTACCATCTTCATGTTTTTTTCTGATTCATACAACCTACAACTTTCCCAGTCTTCTGTCAGCCATTTCCTTACTCTATAACTCTATTCTTTTTTTCAAGTAACTTCCAACTTAATAGTGGTTGCTTGCAGCTGTGTTGGGAGTTAAGAGTTAATCAGAATTTAAAATAAAATAAAGAAAAAATCAGTCTCTAAAACTGTTATTTTGTGGTTTTTAAAAAAACATAATAATTATAATGTACATTATAATAACATTATAATGTAATTTTTCAACTAATATTGGTTTAAACCAATATTAGTTGCAAAATAATATTGCAACTAATATTGGTCAACTAAACTTGTTTTTGTAGATAATTTTAACTAATATTGGTTTAAACCAATATTAGTTAAAATTATCTACAAAAACAAGTTATGCATATATGTATAATGTAATTCTTATAATGTAATTGTGTAATATAGTTTCCATAGTACAGTATATACATTATATACTGTACTATGGAACCATTAACTTGTAACAGGTAGGTACTATATAAAGTTGTTTAAAAGTTGAATAAAATTGTGATTGCCTTTTGTTTTAACCATAAAAGTATACACATATAATGTAGTTAAAAATTAAGTGGTTTGCCTTTGCTCGTGTAAGAACTTTAGTTTTTTACTTTTTATTATTGTTTACTAATAGTTGTCTACTAACTTATTATTAGTTGACCACCAATTCTACTATAAAAGGTTTTCGAAGGGATACCTTTTCTGAGCAGACCAGAATCATTCGGATGTCTTTTTCTAACATTTCTGGATATTTTAATAAAGGTCACTCTTTCTTGTATGCATTGTAGTTGTTATTTGACATATGATGAACTGCCTGAAAAAAGGATAAAGAAACGGTTATTTAATGAAAAAAAGGAATTTTTTTTTTTAGTAAAATAGTATTGCATTCACAAATCTCATTTGAACATAGTTATGCAGAAAATAGCCAGCCAGAAAAAACTCAAATTGAGATAAAAGCACTTTTGTCTCATTTAAAAATGGTTTTTTTGAAATCAACAAATATTATGTGAGGCAATTACTATGTATGAAGTCCGCCTGTCTGGTTTTAGTATAGCATTCTGTCAACCTTTTTCCGTCAGTTGACATCAATATGCTAATTTATATGAAATAGTGGACTGGCTGCTTTCTGCATAACTACATTCAATTAATAACTTTTTTTATTTATTTAATAAAAGTAACTTTAATCATAAACCACATAAATTTATTTGATGGTTCGTTTTCCTTCACAAAGTGATCAATAATGCCTAACTAGTAAACTATTGGTAATAATATTTTTTTAAGTATAAAAAATTAGAGAATAATTTGTATTGTGAAAGAAAATGCAAAGTACATCCAAAAATCCATTTAGAATTCAGAATACAGAATACTTAACTGAAACAATATTTAAAATATTTTACAACACTGATGAATGAAATGTGAAGGTTATTGATATAACATATCAATAAATTTACAAAGCCAATATATTTATGCATGTTTATTTCTTTATATAGGTGCAGCTTTTGCGTGAATCTGATGAACATCCCAATGTTATCAGATACTATTGCAGGGTAGGAATTCTTTAAATACTTTTTTTTTACATTAAGTTTGGTTATTTGATTATTTTTGTATCAAACTTTAGCATTGATAACAATGTCTTTTTTACCTAAATAAAAGTTACAAAGTTATGCAAAGTTTCATTATTCTGTATCAATTTGTACTTTGTTTACAACTCTGTTGTGAACAAAGTATGCAACTGACTAAACCAATGAACTTGGCACTATTTTGCCTGGGATATTGATTTTTTCCAATTATAAACATAGTCAATATTTTGGTAGCTCATCTTATTATTGCTCATCTTATTAGGTTTACAAAACATTACAGATAGAAAACTAATTTATCCATGTCTGGTGGACCTCAAAAAGGTTTTTTTGTTTATAACTAAAATCTTACTTGGTTTGATTTAAAGAAGTAGGAACAACATCTAGTAACTTACAAACAGGAGAGGCTCCAAAAATATAGAGCTTCTTGTGGTGCAAAAAAGTATTAAAATATCTATAAAATAAGGAATGCAACAATTTGAGCCTTCAAGGTCATCGCTGCACTGAATTTTAAGCCTATTTATATATTTACTCTGTATCGACACTTATTTCCATACAGTTAACTTTAGAACTGTTGCTAAATAACCATTAAAAATGTTTGAAATACCCCCAAGCATTACTAACCATGCATAAAGATATTCCTGATTTTATTTAAAACTACGAATGTCAGATAAATGTCATTTTAAGTTTAATGGAACAGTTAATAAATAAAATTCTGTATAAGATTCTGTAGAAATCTAAAGCAAACTTTCTCAAGACAAATAGCTCTTTAAATGTTTTTTTGAGCCCATGTAAACAGATCTTGTGGTGTGAGAATCTGATTTGTAATTGCTGCTCGTAGACTAACTTTTGCTACTTCTCTTTTTATAGTAACTCCTATTCCATCACATGGACTTTTGCCATGTGGTGTAGCAAAGAAGTGATGGTCAGCATTTATTTGGTGATCTATAATGTGATAAATTAAGTTTATTAGACATTTGTAGTTTTTATACTGCGACGCAACACCATCAGTGAAGTATTTAACTTTATTCACTATGGGTAATTTGATTTTGACTATAGGGAGCAACTTTGTGAGAAAACAAGGGACTGCTGATTGATCATGACAAAGATGGTCAGAAATTAAACAATAGCATTCACATTTAAGCTGATCTTTTTCATCTTTGTAATAAACAGCAATTGGGTGTAAGGTGGTAGCTTGATCGGCTTGCCAGCTAAACCCTTGTATAGCATCTTGTACAAGAAAACTATAGTTCTCTGCAAAATCTATCAGAATAATGCAGGTATATTGGTCTAATTTTTTACCTCTAATAAGTAGGAAGACTGTGCTTCTTTGATGAAGTGGTGGTGACAAAAGTCATACAAAGTTTCACTTAAAGTTTCAATATATTCACTAATGCTTGGACTGTAATAAGTACAGTTCGGCCAGTTGACACCCATTGTTTATATGTGATATGATCATCAAAATCAAAATCATTCTTTTCAAACACATTTTCCAATTAAGTCTTTAAATTTATTTTACCAGGGCAGTTGGAACATAGATGAAACATGCAGTTTCGACAATCTATATTACAAACACATACTTTCATTAAATCTTTGTAATATATTAAATGGCTGTTAGGAAGAGCAGAGCACATCAACTTAGCATTTTGATGGTAAGAACATACACAAATTGAGTGGCGTCCACTACTATCAACAGTAAGGCACACTTTGGCCTTAGTTCACAAAACTTGCTGAACTTTGTGTTCAGGGTATAACTTCTTAAATTCCAAATGAAGTTCTTTTAAACGAACTAATATTAAGCGTTTTTGTTTATGAACATTAACATTATTTATACACACAGAAACAACGTCTTTTTTTCCTGAACATTGTCTAGTGTATTTGTCAGATTCATATATTTCCATGACTCTCTGCTTTACAATATCCTCCAAAGGATGTCCTTTCTTAGCCTCAGGTTTAGCAAGTATTCCCTTTTCATTTTTCAGCTTTCTGGCTTTCTTAACAAGATGGTCTGAAACTGAAAATGCATTGCAAATTTTTTTAATTGACCAGTTAATGTTAGTAACTGAACTTTTTCTTCATTCAAACTGATTTTTACTTTTTCCTTTATTGCATCTATAAGTTTGTCTAAATCATTACAGTTAATGAATTTTTACTTTTTCTCAGATATTATTTCTTTTGGGTCTTTATCCAATGCTGATGCTACTTGGTTTGTCATACTTGTTTCCAGTTTTTTAACTTTTTGCTTTCTATATTCCAATTTGTCACGTTTACTTACATTTTTTACACGGATTATGACACTGATTATGTCATTATTATTAGTACAAATTAAGAAATTATGTCATTAAAAAGAAAACTAAATATATTTATTCAACGATAAATAAAAAATATACTACTGTCATCCCTATGACTAATAATTAGACTATGACCTAAGGCTAGCTCATAGTCTAATAACATTCTCCTTTTGAAAATATTATCACTCTCAAAAGGCTACAATTATGTCAAAAGATAGAGTATAGGTCTTTAAATTTTTTTTTGTGATTGTCTATATAAAGAACCTCAATATTAAAAAGTTTCATAATTTATTTCAACTGTTTATGCAATTTTCTATGCCAGCAAAGTCAATGTAAATTATCATAATTTTTAAAAAAAGTGATTTTTCAATAAGTTGCTGCATGTGCTAAATTAATTTTTAATGCATAATTTTGATTATTCTAATAAGTGATGACACTTTGTACACAAAGATAACAAAAAAGGCCACTTTCTGTAAATAAGTATTAAACTGTAACATGTTATAGTTTGAAAAATATTTATAATGTTGCAATATTTACCAACTTTAAGGTACAATAACTCAAAAACTGTAAAAAATCAGTCAAAAACAATTGCAACAATGGATTATTTGGGTGAAAAACTATTACCCTACAAAATTTCAGGTGATTGCCATCTTTATTTAAAAAGTTATGGTTTGTAAAAAATCAAAAAAAACTGCTCTAAGCTAAAAATTTTTTGGATTTTGGTCATTTTTAATTCAATCATAACTTTAGAACAAATTGGTCAATCAAGCTGAAACTGTCTGGATTGTATTTTTTTTTTTTGTTATATATATGCGGTAGTGGTGTAGTGGTAAAACACTCGCTTCATAAGCGAGAGGTTCCGAGTACGATCCCCACCACGTCCCTGGTAGTACCGCGCTCAACTTGTTTCTCCGCGCAGCGGCCTTGTTCGTCAAGGTTCGTGTTTCGGAGTTATAGAGTTGAGAGAGGGTTATAACCACTATTAAGTAGCCTCATCGTCTGTAGTGGCCTTCTCGGCCTTGAGGAGGTGAATTAAAAAAAAAAAAAAAAAAAAAAAAAAAAAAAAATATATATATTTGTTTTGTTGAATAAATTCAAATATTAATCCTAAATTTTATTAAATTATTTTTATTTCTATAGCATTACTATGTTGCTTTATAGCATATTATTAAGTAGAAATGTTAATATTTGTTTTTTTTGCAAATAATTTATTTTACATTGTTTTTACATTTTTTTTTTAATATAGGAAGATGACAAGCTGTTTCAGTATATTGCTCTAGAATTGTGTCAGGCAACATTGCAGGAGGTTAATTTTCTTTTATCTTTTATATTGCTAAATTGTTTTTAAAATTAATAATTACAATGAATACAATATCAAATCATAATGGGAATAATAGCTTTTTTTGTTTAGAAATTTTAGAAATTAATGTTGTTTAATAGTTTGCTTTTATTAATTTCATTAGAATCAGAATTTTTTTTTTAGTATGTACATGTATCAACATTTGAAAAAAAAGGATTGACACCATCAGATGTTTTGTTCCAAACACTTTCTGGAATTGCTCATTTACATTCATTAAATATAGGTAATGTTTATAAGGTTATAAGTATATATATATATATATATATATATATATATATATATATATATATATATATATATATATATATATATATATATATATATATATGTATATATATATATATATATGTATATATATATATATATATATATATATATATATATGTATATATATATATATATATACATATATATATATATATATATATACATATATATATATATATACATATATATATATATATATATATATATATATATATATATATATATATATATATATATATATATATATATATATATATATATATATATATATATATATATATATATATATATATATATATGTATATATATATATATATATATATATATATATATATATATATATATATATATATATATATATGTATATATATATATATATATATATATATATATATATATATATATATATATATATATATATATATATATATATATTAGACCAGGTCAGTTTTGAAACTGAGTTATTGGACTAGTAGAAATGGGTGTATTATTGCTAGTTAGAATATCACTCTGGAGAAATTTTCGGAAAATTGCTTAGTTTTTTGAGGAAAGCTAATTTTTCATGCATTTTTATGTATAAAAACAATGTTTTTAAAAAAGCTTCAAATAAAAACAGCATCAAAAACAATGCTTTGAGAGAACTATTCCAAGTGCTCAATATTCTTAAAAAACTAAGCAATAATAAATTACTAAAAATACTAAAATCTAATTTTTTTTCATCTGCTTTCATCTTTCACCTGCTTTTTTCATATGCTCGTCATCTTTTTTGTCTTTTGTCATCCGCTTGTCATCTTTTTTTGTCATCTGCTTTCATGCTGTTTAGCTCTCTGTTTTTTGTTTAAAAAATGAAAACAAATTTTGTTCATAGTCAGCAAAAAACCCAGAGTTTATTTAGGGATGCCGGTTTTTATATTATATTTTTAGCTAGTTGATTTATTACGCCCCATGTTTACTTTAAGTTGTTTAAACTTATATGATTGTTAATGTATTAATATAAATTGCAAACAAATAAAAATTAAAACATTAAAAAATGTAACAAAGTCAAAAAAACGTTTCTTTAAATGAGTTAGTTTAATTATAAAGAAATGTCTTTTAGTCCATTCAAACTAAAAATATTTTAAAAAAAAAATTTTTTTTTCAAAAGAATTTCACCACTATTTTACTTTTACTGAATTGGAATTTTAAAGCCAAAACATTTTTTTAATTAATTTTTTCAAGTCGTTAAATTTTTAAAACATTCCGTTATGTTCTTGATATAGTTTTGAAAGATGTTTTAATTCATTTTTTTAAAACAAATGCTTAATTAGTAAGCAATTGGTAGTTTTAAACTACAGATTGCTTACTAATCGTTTTTAGTAATAGCATGTAATTTAGAAAAATTTGATGATAAAACTATTATCTAATTTTTCTGAAAAAAAAAAATGAACTAGCTCAAATAAACAGAATATTTTTTACAATCTACGTATATAACGTTATATAAAGTTATATAACGACTCATATTTTTTTATAATAAAAAAGAATAATAACTAGTTGTACATTTTTTTGGCGCTTTTTTTTTGACGTCCATACCGATAAAACGGTATTAAAACACGTCTAGGTTCTTCACTGATAGTGTTATAGATATTTTGTATTTTGTAAGTTATTTAAAAATTAAAAGGTTGCTCTAGTTTATGGATAAAATCAGCATTTGATACATTTACAGGATGAACCACTATTGATTGCACTAATATAGCATGCTATGTTTTGTACATTTTAGTTCATCGTGATATCAAACCTCATAATGTTTTGATATCTTATCCAAATGCATCTGGTGTTATAAAAGCCATGATATCTGATTTTGGATTATGCAAAAAACTGGCATTTGGGCGTCACTCGTTTTCATCTCGATCAGGCATTGGTACTGATGGTTGGATTGCTCCAGAAGTGCTCAGTAGAGAAGCTAATATTGTAAATTTAATTTTTTTTTAGTGTAAATTATTTCTTTTTTAACTGTACGTTTTTTAAATAAAATTTTTTATAGAAAAGAAAGCTCTGTATTTTCTAAAATGTTTGAAATTAGTTTTATTGCATTCCATTAGACTCGAGCCTGTGATATCTTTTCATATGGTTGTGTCTTCTACTATGTCCTGTCTGGTGGTCTACATCCATTTGGTGATAACTTTTGTAGACAGTCAAATATACTTTCAGGACAATATTCATTGGAAAATCTCAGCTACTTAGATAGTAAATTTATATAATTTTATTACTTGATGTTAAATGTATTTTTTCAAAATCATTCAAAAACAATTTTGAATTTTAGATGAATTTGAAGCGAAAGATTTATTGAAACTGATGTTAAGTGTTGAACCTTCACAAAGGTTGCTAAATTTTTATTGCAGATATATTAATAGTATTACGGTTTATGTTGTCTCGGAATCATGAATCATAAACTGTATTACTCAGAAACAATGATTAATTTTTTATTTGGTTTTTAAAACACTCTTTTAGACCATCTGCAAATTGCATCTTAAAGCATCCTTTTTTCTGGAACAAAAGTAAACAACTTTCTTTTCTACAGGTAATTAATTCTTAATTTTTTAAGTTTTTTTCACTAGGTTGTTTTCTTTTTCAATTTCAAAATATTTTTCTTTTTCTTCATAATTGTTTTTAGGATGTTAGCGATCGTATTGAAAAAGAACCGGAAGGTGCTGAAATTTTAAAAAAACTTCAAGAAGGATCAATTGCCGTAGTACGAGGTGATTGGAAGTTGCATATTGGTGAAGAACTTCAAGAAGGTTGTTTAAAATTTTGAACTAAAATTTGATTTTTGTAAAATTAAAAATATTAAAATTTTGTTTTATATATTTATATATGTTTATATTTTTTTTTTTTTTTTTTTTTTTTTAATTTTAATTCACCTCCTCAAGGCCGAGAAGGCCACTACAGACGAGGAGGCTACTTATTTGTGGCTATAACCCTCTCTCAACTCTATAACTCCGAAACACGAACCTTGGTGAACAAGGCCGCTGCGCGGAGAAACGAGTTGAGCCGCGGTACTACCAGGGACGTGGTGAGGATCGAACTTCGAACCACTCGTTTATGAAGCGAGCGCTCTACCACTACACCACTACCGCATATATTTAGTATTATTTACTCCCAAGTGTCTTGTTATGGAGGGGATAATAATATATAAGTAAAAATATTTTGAAAAAAAAAAAAAAATTAGCGAAGGTCCTCATACACTTTGAAAGCTTCCAAGTGTGACTTTAGATGAACTGAAGCAGCATTTCTATGCAGAATAAAAACCTTATAATTTAAAACAAATTAAAAGTTTTTAAAACCTTAATTTGTATTATGTAACGAATTCATATTAATTATTGTGTGGGATTACCGCAAATAGAACAAAATTTGGTTTCAACATTTGACCGATAAACCTTAGTAATCTCTCTTTAAAGAAGATTTATATATTTTATAACAATATATATATATATATATATATATATATATATATATATATATATATATATATATATATATATATATATATATATATATATATATATATAGCACAATTTTAACATACATTTATATATACATGGGTATATATATATATATATATGTATATATATATATATATATATATATATATATATATATATATATATATATATATATACATTATGTATGTTATATCCTTTAATCAGCAATCTTTTAAGTTGTCTGTCAATCATTATCTTGCTCTACAATCTTCATCTTTTCTCTTCCAGTAACTTCCAACACTAATTAGTGGTTACTTGCAGCCTTGTTGGAAGCGAAGATGTTGAAAAAATAAATAAATAATGAAATATACATGGGTCTAATAAAAAATTACAAAAATAACCTATAACAACAAAAATAACTAAACTCTCGACTAGCAATATTTATACATTTGGCAAATGGGTGGGGCAAAGCAGGACAGTGAAAAAGTAGCCGTTATTCATTAATTGTAAAGCTTTAAAAGTGAAAAAAAATGAAGGCATTTTATCATTTAAACTTGTTCAGACATTAAAATCCTTGAAATGTAACATGCCCAAACAAATTACTTGTCCTTACACCACCAAAAAAAAAAAAAAAAATTAAAGAAACTTTTTATGTTTTATTATTAAATACTCTTAGACAAACAAACTTAAGAAGTTATTCTAAAATTTATATAGGGCAAAACTAGAATATATATATTTTTTTTTTTTTTTTTTTTTAACATTTTCACTTCCAACAAGGCTGCAAGCAACCACTATAAGAGTTGGAAGTTACTGGAAGAGAAAAGACTAAATCTGTAGAGCAAGATGACGATTGACTGATGACTTAAAAGATTGCAAATTATATGAATCAGGAAAGCAAGATGAAGGAAGCGAATTCCAAAGAACTGATGTTCGAGGAAAAAAACTAGAAGAATAAGAGTTTTTGAAGCACTTAGGACAGTCACAGAAAAAGGATGAGACTTAATTGAATGGCGAGTAACACGAGAATGAATTTTAGTAGATGGCACAAGGGACGCTAGCTCTTTAGAGCAGTGCCCATTATAGTATTTGTAGAAAAGAGAAAGAGAAGCAACATTACAACGATGTGACAAAGGTTGGAGATTGGCTGCCAGAGCAGGTCCAACTATGTTTACAATTCGTTTTTGCACCTTGTCTAAAAGAGAAAGAGCATCATTAGAAGATCCGCCCCAGATGTGGCAACAGTATTTCATACAGGGATTTGAGATTTATAGAGATAGAGAATAGAATCTGGAGTAAGAAAGTGTCGAGCTCGATAAAGAGATGCAACCTTAGCAGATGCTAATTTTGCAATGGATTTGATATACGGTTTAAAAGAAAGATCAGAAGTAAGAGTTAATCCTAGAAGATGAATGGTAGATGACTCATCTAGTACATTACCATTTATAAATATAGGAAGATCTAAATTATTACGATAACGATTGGCCGAATAAAATTGAGTTTTATCTGAATTAAAGTTCACCAGCCACTGTGAGCCCCATGCTGTAGCAGAAGTGAGATCCTTTTCAAGCTCAGATACCCCCTCCAAGCAATCAGAGAGTGTAGGCTTCTTATCATGACAAGAGTAAATGGTAGTGTCGTCAGCGAATAATGCCACCTTAGATGTGAGAATATCTGGAAGATCGTTAATGTAAATTAAAAAGAGTATAGGGCCAAGGATTGAACCTTGAGGAACCCCTGAAGTTACAGGATGTGAAGAAGAGTGTTGTCCATCGAGGACAACTTTTATACTACGATTGGAAAGAAAGGACTCAATAATCTTAAAGATGTTACCAGCTACACCATAAGAAGAAAGCTTATGGAGAAGACCAGCATGCCAAACTTTATCAAAAGCTTTAGAAATGTCAAGTGCGATAGCCTTAACCTCTCCACCTCTATCTAATGCACGGTAAAACCTATCGGTTATTACTGTTAGCACATCAGCTGTAGAACGAGAAGACCGAAATCCATATTGATGATCAGAAAGTAAGTTATTTGATTCAAGATGAGAGATTAAGTGTTTGTTGATTAAAGATTCAAAAACCTTGCTTATGACAGGAAGAAGACTAATGGGACGGTAGTTAGATGAATCAGATCGCTCTCCAGAATTTTTGAAAATAGGGATAACAGATGCTGCTTTCCAGCATGATGGAAAACAAGACTCTGATAAGCACTTGTTAAATAGTTTTGAAAGTATGGATGAAAGCTCCGGAGAACACCTCTGCAAGACTACAACAGGAATGTTGTCAGGACCACAAGCTGTTGAAGAGTCTAAGCAGAAAATTACTTTTGATACAGAAGCTGAAGTGATGCGAATGTCAAGCAAGGGATCAACCTGTTTGACAGCTATGTCAGGTAAAACGCAACTAGTGGAATCGAGAGATGATATTGATGAAAAGTTCTTAGCAAACAATTCAGCTTTGTCTTTAGGTGAGGTGACAAAGTCTGAACCATACAAGAGAGAAGGAATAACAGATTTGCCCTTATTATTGATACTGATAAAGATTCTCCAGAAGTCTCGAGAGCCTAATTTTTGTGATGAGATACGAGATTTAATGACCTGAGAATAGCGAGCTTTGGCGTCAGACAAAACCTTTTTACAATGGTTTCTGGCGATAGTGAACAGATGTCTGTTTTCTGGAGAATTGTTTTGCTGATAGATATGGAAGTAACGGTTTCGATTAGAAATTGCTGCAGCGCAATGTGAGGAAAACCAAGGAGAAGAGTGAGGCTTGACCTGGAATCGTCGAGAGGGAATAAAAGATTCCATGCCAGCCTGAATCCACGAAGTTATGTAAGAAGCACATTTGTCAGCAGGAAGACGAAAGATTTCTACCCAAGATTTGATCAGAAATAGCATCAAGAATAGTGCAATCTTGGGATGAAGGAGAGCGATATAGAACAAAGAGAAAGGCGATCGAGTGAAGTTGTGCTAAACGAAAGCACATAAATGAATAGTCTGTAGATTCAAACCTAGTTTCACGACAAATGGGTGAGTTCTTACGAATGTAGATGCCCAGGCCAAACATGTGATTATTGGAGTCTTTACGAATTAAAGGAAGATAACCATCAACACTAAGATCACAAGATGGGACAGCCGAACTCAAATTAGTCTCACAAAGAGCAAGTAGGTCTGGTGAACTTTGCAAAAGATAAGACTCAACAGAAGAAAAGTTACTTCGAAGACCACGAATATTAGTAAATGATAGGTTTAGAGAACTTGGTGATGACGATGGTTTTTTGTGTTTTTTAGTTTTAGGTACTTTAATCATTTTGAATTTATAAAGAACTTGACTCAAGTATAGATAGTACTCAGTACACTATTTAACAACTAAGCAATAGCCTTATTACTATTAATAAACCCTAAGTCGTAACAAAGGGCTCCAAATGTGGCCTCTGCAATGCACACCAAAAGTACAAACAGGGACACCATCCATGCGCAACATGGCACTGTTAGTACTCTGATATTTTTCGGCTGTTGATGGAATCAGCCTCTCTGAGTGCTACCACAGATTATTATTATACCACAGATTATTATTATACCACTATTATTAAATAGGTACTAACTAATAATATTACTATTATATATTTATTACTATTATATATTTATTATAACTATTATATATTTATTACTATTATATATAAGTACTAACTAATAGTACAACTAATAGCTACTACTAAATCTAAAATTAAACAAAAAATATTATGGATTACATAAATTACACAAAAAATAGTCTAAAACTATTTGGCAAAATTTTTGAAGAGCCGGCTTATTAGCAATATGCCTATGTAGAGCAAATTTTAATACGCTATATATAGCAGCAGCTTTTCGAATTCTAAGTTCCTTTTTATTCACAGCTAAAACTGCATTACATCCCATTTTGGATGAATGATCTTTCTTATATAATTTCTTACCATAGTTGTTTACATTAAGCACTATTAATAATCGAAGTTAAGTTATAAAAATACCAGTTTCTTTGAATTTATTACTAATTACATAAATAAATTGACTTTTCTAATAAGAAAAGTAATAATATTTTAGATTAAAAATAGTCATCAAACTGTAAACAAAATGGTAGTAATATAGTCAATTATATAAATTTGTTGCCCCATAAAAGTCATTGTACTGAAATCAAAACTTTTCGAAAATTTCAGTTCCAGATATTTTTTTAAAACCAGATTCTAAAAGAGGATAAAAAATACTGTTTGAAAAATGTAAACTTTTTATAAATAAAGCAAATTAGCAATAGTTCATGAATTTTTTGTCGTTGTATTGCTTAAGAAAATACGCAAATTTTGTTTTTTGCAAACTTACTTTTTTTTTTTTTAACAATTAATTCAATAGAATATAAATATACAAGTAAAACAAAATGCTATAATATAAATTTATAAGAACTCAGATTCTTGCTTCTAGAGCATCCATCTTAAAATCAACACCGATTTCAAAATCATTTTTTTCAGTCCAGGGTGTTCTTGAACCTCTTAAACAAAGGATAGTTGAGCGAAAAAAGATAACTTTGTTCTTAACCACGTCATAACAATTGAGTTTTTCATTTTGTTTTTCCGCTAGTTTCTCTGCTAGCCTTCTAACAAACCAATGACATTCTTTACCCATTCCTCCATTTGTACCAAACATTAGTGGTGTCAAACTGGCATGTTCGACTTCGAACTTGTTCGCCATACTCTCTTTTTTTTTCCTTTTCATGTTTTCTGAATATAGCAGCTATATCTAGATTTTTGTTGCTCATGGAATTGACATGCATAACTCTTACGTCAAAAAATATTGTCTGTCCATTTCGCCAAAAACCATTTGCTTTAATATCCAAACGAGCTTGGTTACTTTTATTTGCTGTATGGATATAAAAATTCTCCTTATAAAAGGGTATGAAGTGTGGTTCGAATTGAACATTTATGCACACTCTTTTAAGCAATGTGGTGAACAAATTTCTTATGTTATCATGACGATTTGAAATGAAGCCACCTTTCTTACACGACAATGCATGAGTTACATTGAAAGGTTCTCCGCATTCACAAATACAAGGGATATTTTTCAAGTCAAAATTATAACGTAATTATTTTCTCTTTGCGATGCTTAAGTCTGTCAGTAGTTAATATTTTTTTCAAGTTTTTTGTTTTTAAAATCTTGATCTATAATTTGCTGTACAAGATTTTTAGTTAATTTTACAGATGATAAAAACTGGTGAGGCGCTTCTTCAATTAGTATAGGTATACCCAATCCTCCATCTTGAGGAGTAAATGTAAAAAGTTTTGTAATCCTCAAAGGGCGTATCTTTTCCAAAAAAAATTGGCAACAATAAATGACTAAGTATTTCGTCTACTTCAATACTTATTGTCTTCGTCAATTAACCAGCATTTAGATTGGTTTACAAAGTAGCCATGTTTACATTTTTCATCAATAAAGTATTGATACCAGCTATGTAAGTTTGCAATGCTTCCACTAGCTGCAGCATCGTGTGCTAACCACACCTGCTTAACTTGTGGGTAATTTACAAGTAAGTGTTCTATAATTATCGTGGTTTTACAAGAGTACCATGGCATAGCAAGGGGATCACCTTGAGTTGTGCCTTCTTGGGATAATATTTCTTTATCCCCTACCACAAAGAGCCTCGATGGATTTCCATAAGTATTGATTAAGTAAATTGAAATTAATGGACAAATGATCTGGATGTTTTGTAAGGCGACTTGTCGATTCATATAATTAAAAGTGTTCTTTGCGTCAATCAAAAGTATTGCATTTGTTTGCACATTGTCAAATATTTACATCATGGCATGTACAGCGGCTTCGGCTCCTGCCCCATGTCCAGCACATGCTTGTAATGACCCGGCTGCCTCTTTTATCTCACTGTTGAAACTCCAGCTAATTACTTTACCTATGATACGCCTTAGTACTTCTCTTACTCCAATTGACCTATTACCTGGATTTTTATCTAGAGGAATTAATCAACAAGCAGTGAAAGCTTCTAGAAATGTTGGTTCATATGTTTCTGTTAGTAAGTTTTGTGTCATTTTAGCAATTTCTTTTTAGAGTTCTTTACCTTCTTTGATAAAGTTTTTAAAACATAAGATGCGGTGATAAATATCGGCATCCATTCCTGATGGTCCAGCAGATCCTTTAGTTGCAAATGCTGCTTTCATAACTAGTTGCTCATCAATACAATCGAAGAAACATTTTGGGATTAAATCAATCGGACCAAACAATAAGTTATAATCTTCTACTTACGAGGGTTCAGGGTGTTTGCTTTTAAGGTCTTTTAATGTGTTGTCCGATAGTGGTAGTATGCCAGATGATCCCTCTTTTTCTAAAAATTTCAGCGCTGTAGTAATTTTGCCTTCCATAATTAATTTGGCAAATATTCTAGATATATCGTCCATAGATCTTTTATTTTTGGAGTTTACAAATTTTTTTGTATATTTCGAACTTCTTTTAACAGTAAACCAGTATCTCCTTTTTTCCAAAGGTCAATCCTACGAATTAAAAATAATGTATGTTCTTTGGACTTTGATTTGGCGGAGGGTTTTTGCAAAAGAAGATTCGGCAAAATCATTGTAACTTTCAGCGCGATTAAATTTAAACTAGAAGTAGAATTAAACTTTCTTAACCAAAAGGTTAGCTCCTCTATAAATTCTTTACCTGCCTTTCCAGATGGAATGTTGAAAATATTTCTTCGGTAATTTACGATCTCATCATAGGTAGAATCCACAAACAATTTAAATTGTTGATATGAGTATACTTCCCACATCACATTGTTATTTGGAACTGGTAGATGGTTCATTATTTCAGGCAAGAAGGGAACAATTTTAAAATTCTCATTAAATGAATGATTTGTTGTTTGAGAAGGAAGCTCAGGTAGTTTTCTGCGAACTATATATTATGTTATACTTATGGGTGTCATTTTCATAGAAGACAGTATGCTTACAGGTGTCGTTTTTCTAGAATACGTAGGTGTTAATGTGTAGTCCTTTTTTTGATTAAACGCTAAATTGTTAGACGAAGAGGATGCAATTATAATGTCGTTTTGTTTTGTAATTGAGGGTATTACTTTAGTATTTGGTTCAAGTGTTGAGGTATTAGTTTTTTGTAGACTGAGTATTTACAAAGGATTCTTTTTGCATTTTAAAATGTGACGGTTTATTCTGTATATTGTTTTAAGTTCTACTTTACAGTAAGGGCACACATAAGGTATAGTAGCTTTGCAGCTGCTCATTGTACAGGGGTGGGACCGCAAAATGTGAACACTTTTCTGATTGTAATAATTAATTTTCTGTTAAATATGAACTATTTTAAATGTTCAATTTTTGTTTTTTTACATATTATATTTTACTTTGTTTACATATTCATTAGTACTTTGTCTTTCGTTTTTTATCAAATAAACTCAACTACATCTAACGAGAAAATAGTTATAATAAAACAAAAACGTTCACATTTTGTGGTCCCACCCCTGTACTTGTTAAGAAAAGTTTTTGTTTTTTATTATTAAGAAATATTTTGTTTAACTAGATGTTATATTGTTTACTGCGAATAAAGAAGATTAAATATTTTCATACTGAATAATAAAAAACTTTCTTTATTTCATTTCAAAACTCTCATTCAAAACTCATAACATTTCCAATAAATAATAAAATCCATAGTTTCATAATTACATATAATAATGTCTTTTTATAAATATATATTTCTTTCTACTCTAACTTACTGATGCATTTTGGTACTTTTAATGCATATATATATATATATATATATATATATATATATATATATATATATATATATATATATATATATATATATATATATACACTCTGCATATATATATATATATAATATATATATATATAATATATATATATATATATATATATATATATATTTATATATATATATATATATATATATATATATATATATATATATATATATATATATATATATATATATATATATATATATATATATATACACACTACCGTCTATATGGTCATACTTTTTGATATAAGATATCAAAGTTTTACTTACTATTGGGAGAAAAACTGAAAAAAAAATCTACCTAAATTATATGTTATTTTCTTGTTTATTAGGTTTACCAAAAAAATTATATTATCTATAAAGCCATTTGATTAGTTTATAATTTACTTGCCTATTAATCACCCTTAGCGATAATAACCGCTATAAATATTCTTGGCATTTAACTAAACGACCTATCCAATTTTTCAAACTCAATTTTATGCCACTACTTAATAAGTTTTTTCCACAATTTATGCATTATTAGGCATTGGTTTTTGACATTTATTTCATCTCATAAAAAATCCGATAGGAGAAAAATCTTGTGATTGAGGAGGCTAAATCATTATATTCAATATTTGATCGTTCTGGAATTCAGTCAAATAACTTTTACAATGTTATAAAGAATATGTTTTGAATTTATGCTTTAAATCATTTTCTTCTGAAAAAAAAAATAGTTTCCCATCAACCCAACTTTCCAAAGGTATAATATGACTTTTTAAGTGTCCAAGTTAACTACTTTTGTTATTATTACCTCTGTTTTTACAATGTAACTTGTGGCATTCCCACCAAAACAGCCCCACACTATTTTATACATTCAACGATTTTTTTTCAGAAAAACACTTTTCTTGAAGCCAAAAACTTTGATGGTCATTGATGGTCCATTTTTTATGTAATTTTGCCCACTTTGGCTTTTTTATTGTTCTTATGATTTTTGTCAAAGCATTTTAATGAAAATACTTTTATTTTTTATATTATATAATAATGCAAAAATAAACATAAAAAATAGTTAATCAAAAAATAACATTTAAAAAAAAAGTTTATGTCATTCGAATAATTATAAACGATAGTGTATGTACGCACACAAAATGGTGAATTTACATTAACTTTTGTTTATTTAACTACTGTAGTACTTTTTTTACTAATTTGCAGATTTGCGCAAATTTCGAACTTACCAAGGGACCCAAGTTCGTGATTTATTGAGAGCCATGAGAAACAAGGTAAGTCAAAATGACATCATTTCCTAAATTGTTTTTTATTTTTTATAAGTTTTTTTTTTTAATTTAAAATCTAATCAAACAGAAAAAGTATTCAATACTTAAAAGTCTTTATTTGGATAAGAAAATTTTTTAAATGATAAGAAAATATAAAATAAGACAACTTTGGTATATATATATATATATATATATATTTATAAGTTAGTTGTATTAAAGCTGAATAATACAAATAAGAAAAAAAAAACGTTATGTTATTAAAAGAATAAATTCAATAAAAACTGTTTTACAATTATATTAAACCTTTTTTCCATGAAAAATTTCCCTTTTATTTCCATGAAAAGCTTTTCTTTTTTTAAGAGTTCGTTTAGTTTTAGGGGACAGTATAGTTTAAAAAAATAAAAATTGCAGTAGGTGTTAAATGAAATAAAAACTTTTTCTAATATTTTTACTGATTTTTTTAGAAGCACCACTATCGAGAGTTACCAGAGAAACTTCGTGAATCTTTGGGATCGATTCCTAATGAATTTCTTACTTATTTTACAAAAAGATTTCCTAGGCTTGTTATACACGTGTATAACAATATTAAACCAAACTGTGAGCATGAGGCCCCTTTCAGTCCGTATTATAATTGATGGCTGTTTTAGTCTTGAGTAGGATAATTTTGTGAAGCGAATAACAAAGAATTGAGGGGTGTTCCTAACAAAAATTTACTTGAACTGGTTTTTTCCAGATATGTTATCTGTGAAGGTAGTGGAACATTTTTTTACTTTTGAAGACGGAAGCAATTTATTTGCTGTAGTTAAAGTAGTTAGAAAATGAATCAGAACAAATGTGAGAGTATTCTGCTGTAGAAGAAATCATTTAAGTACTTTATTTCCGATTGTTTATTTGGCTAGTTTTTGCGCTGATGTATTTTAGTATTGCTAATATTTTAATTCTGAGGTGAAATTTTATTTACGTTTAGCGTCTTTGCGTCATTTTTAGAATCATCTCTTATTAAGATTTTTTTTATTATTATTAATACTATCTAGGTATTATTGAGTTGGGTTTTCCTTTTTCGCGCTTTTCTTAGTGAGTTTGAATATATATATTTTCTTGCAAATTTTTTTATAATTTATTGTAAGGTCTCATAATTTAATGTTTCTTAGACATGTTTTGTTGCGATTTTCTAGGTTTTACTTGAAAATGCTATTACTATCCCCATATCATGTTCCCGATATTTATTTTATATCCATGTAAATATTTCATGAATTTTAATTAATCTTTAATTTATTTTGTAATTATAATTTCTTTTTAAGAATTTTTTTTTAAGTGAAAATTGGCAATTATATTTTATCTATTTTGAATTTTAAATGTTTGAGTTTATTTATAATTAAAATGTTTTGAATTAAAGCTTTATGTTCAGTGTTTTCTTTTTCGTGCGTGCGTGCGGTTTTTTTTTTTTTTTTATGGTACTCCAAGAAGTCTTAATGGTCCTAGTCACATCAAAGCCTGCCAACTCGACTAAAAATCCATATATTTATGTGTAATTGGCCGTACATTGAATTATGGGATGTCTTGCGGGACCATATTATAAACAACATAAATTTACTATACACTTTTGTTGTCTGCTAATTATATTATATACTATATTATTATTAGATTTCGAAACAAAAAATATTTATACATATTATGATGTAAATAATTCCAGTAAATGAATTAGGTTTAACCTATTATTTAGATGCAAGCTTTGGGTTCGTAATTGTCGTCGTCAAGATCTCGATACAAAATCATGTGAAGAACTTAATCTTAACTATACTATTTGTAGTGAACATTTTGATTCTTCCCAATACTATCTTGCCAATAATGGTATTAAAAGAGCACTTGTAACTGCTGTACCAACAATTGTTAACTTTCCAAATCAACCTTCTACCTTAAATTTAAAGAGAAAACAGCCTACAAACAGACTTCATTTACAAGATAAAATACAAAAAAAAGAAATCAACGATAAAGTTCAATTAAATAAAATAAATATTGTTGAGAATAGCAGTACAAATAATGTAACTGTCAAAACTACTTTTAAAAATAAATGTTTATCATCTCAAGTTAAAATTTGTCGACTTAAAAAAAAAGCTTAAAAACCTGAAGATAAAGCATGATATGTTAAAAAAATGCGATGGTTTAATAGAACATATTATTAATTTGTCTAAAAAGTATTTAACAAACACTTAACTTCAATGAAAGTCAATTACGCCTGAATAATCGTGTCAAACAGGGAAAACGTTGGACTGTGAAGATAAAATTTTAGCTTTAAGAATCATGTATCGCAGTCCACAAACTTTCAAAAAAGTTTAAAAAAGTTTTTTCGTTACCTTCTAGAAGCACTATTTTAATGTCTCTTGAAAAATCTTTTGGGACCCAAGAATCTGGTTTTTCTAATAAGGTTAGAACGAAACTGTAGCCTTCTTTTTGATGAAATGTCTTAAAATCAACATCTTGATTATGACAAAAACAATGACAAGATCACTGGGATTCAATCTAATGGCAAACCAGCAAACCAAGTACTTGTATTGATGGTCCGTGGATTATCAAAAAAATGGAAACAACCAATTGCATATTTTTACAGTAATACTACTATATGTTCAACCAATTTAGCTAAGATAGTAAATAATGCCATGATTCATCTACATAAAATAGGTTTAGCTGTAAGATGTCTTGTTTGTGATCAAAGCTCGAGTAATATAAGAGCTCTCAAATTTTTAGGATTTTCATTATTAAAACAACAAATTTCACATACAACTACAGGAGCAAAAGATTATATAATATTTGACCCACCACATCTTATAAAAAGTATTAGAAACAATTTAATCAAACATGACATTTTATCTGATGGTAAAATAATATCGTGGAAGTATCTGGAAGAACTTTATAATTTAGACTAGTGTAATGCTGTGCAACTTGTGCCAAAGTTGACAGATTGTCATTTAGATTCAGGATCACTATTAGACATGCGATTAAAATTAGCAACACAAATTTTTAGTAGTCAAGTTGCTACTGCTTTGACTGAATACGCTTCTGCAAAACTATTGCCTGAAAATGTTTTGTCAACAGCCTTTTTTATTAAAATTATGGATATTTTATTTGGTATCTTGAACTCTCGTAAACTAAAAGCAGATAAACCAACCAGCTCTGCTTTAACTTTAAATAGTAGTTTTTTACAAAAGCTTGAAGATTTAAGACTTTAGATTAACGGTTGGCATTTTTCTGGTGCTCGCAGCCAAAAAAATATATCCAGTCATTGGGGATTAGATGTCACTATTTCTAATATTCTTTGTCTTGCAAACGAGTTGCTTCATGAGGATTTTTTTTATGCTTGCACAGCTCAATTTAATCAGGACTGTTTAGAAATTTTTTTTGCATTTATACGAAGCGAAGGAGGCTGGAATGACAGACCAACAGCAATGCAGTTTAAATCAACATATAAAAATGTCTTAGTACTCCTTTCAATAGAACAATCTAACTCTAACAGTAATTGTTTACCTGAATCAGATTTTTCAGCTGCAGATACCATTGACTCAATCATCAATATAGTATTTGAGAATCAAGTTTCTGCAAATGAACAATTGAATTTTAAACATCCAAATACATTATTTAAAAAGAAACAAAAACCTTACGCATTACAAAATGTTTCAACTGATTCAGTTTCACAGTCAATCAAACAAGTTTTGAAATTAATTGCAAATGATTTGATAAAGAAAGTTCAAGTCTGTCAAAAATGTATAAAAGTTCTTTCAAGTGTGACACCCTGTGAAAGTAACTTATTTAATTCTGATTCTTTTTTACAAAACCTACTTCACGAAATGGAAACTGTTTTTATAACGCAATATTAACTAAAAAAAATTATACAACAAATTATTAAAGTAATAAAAAACGATTGCAATTTTACATTTCTTTATGATGAACATATTGATCATGCTTTTCATTTAGAAGAAAGTTTAATCAGACACTATGTTTATATGAGAATATCTTATTATATAAGGTTTTATAATCGTGACCACGAAACAAGACATGTAAAAACAAGTTAGCTCGCAATATACATGCTTGATTTTATTTTAATGACAATTCTTGAAACAAGATATTTCTTATTTATTATTGTTGTTTTTTTTTCTCAGTATTATTAACTATAAATTGAAATAATTTATAAACTATAAATTATTTATATTTTATTATATATTATAAACTATAAATTATTTATATTTATATTATATATTAAATTTATAATTAACTTGAAATAAATTATAAACTATAAATTGAAATAATTTTAAAACTATTTCATAACATTGCTTAATTAACATTTATATATCATCTAACATTATTATGTTGACGCAGTTGTAAATTTGATGTAAATTTAACATGGTTTGCATAAGTCATTTTAATCATGTTATCACTGTATTCGTTTCATATTAGTTTAAATATATACTCCATATTAGTTTAAATATATACTCTATATTAGTTTAAATATACACCCCTTATTTAGATGCTAAATATATATATATATATATATATATATATATATATATATATATATATATATATATTTAGCATATATATATATATATTTAGCATCTAAATAAGGGGTGTATATTTAAACTAATATAGAGTATATATTTAAACTAATATGGAGTATATATTTAAACTAATATGAAACGAATACAGTGATAACATGATTAAAATGACTTATGCAAACCATGTTAAATTTACATCAAATTTACAACTGCGTCAACATATTAATGTTAGATGATATATAAATATTAAATAAGCAATGTTATGAAATAGTTTTAAAATTATTTCAATTTATAAAAGAAAAGTTTTTTTATGGGAAGCCCTCTGGTAAGAATAATGCAAAGGTATAAATATTTCACTAAGAGTTGCGTTGTTTAAGATTATTTGGTCCCGCAAGACATTCCATAATGTTTTGCGGCTAAAATTACATATATTTATCGGGAGTTGGCTGGAATTGCTTAGTATCGCGATAACATATCACGGTCCTAGTCATTAAATACCGCAGTGCCTTCATTGTCAATGTTGCTTCTATGGCCTGATCAGAGCATCGAAGCTTTATTAATTTTGCTTTTCTTGGAGTTTTAATAAATCTTCTCTATGGAGTTTCTTTTCTAAAATTTTAGTTTTTTTTTTTTAATATTGTCATAATAGAATGCTGCGTTTTGATTCCATTATAATTCTAAGAACACAACACAGCATCCTTTAGATTCAATTGTAACTTTTAGAATAATATATATATAACAAGAATAATAAGTGTTTGAGTCAACTCTCAGTTATTAACTTTGAAGCTTCTTGTTTTAGCTCATGATAATGTCAAATGACGAAGTTTAAAAAACAAAATTATATTCATTGTAGCATCCAAAAAATAGTTTTATTAAGTTAAAATACAAGTGCATTTTTTTTTTCAGATGCAGTTTTTTAAAGCAATATTTTCATACTTTTTTTTTTTTTTTGAAGTTGTTTTGAAAATTTGTTATAATTATCTATTGGAGAACTTCATTCCAATTTCCTTCCAAAGCGATAAAAATTTTCCCATTTAAGGAAAGTTCGAGTAAAATGGATTGGATTTATAAGCAAAACTTATTCAACCATTAAGAATAAAAAATTTTTTAAGAAAACAAATAACAAAGTGCATCATCATAAGCTGTTAAAAGTCCACAGGAAAAATAAATTGACGAGGAACTCTAGCAATCCTTCCACGTAGTTGTGGTCTGGGTAGTGCTAATAATTTTACCAACATAAATAACTAAATTTGTTTAAGTAGTAAGTTTGACTAAAGCGTTATCACTTGGAATCAATTTGTTTTGGTTTTGAAACATGGTCTCATTTGTAAAACCACTTGTGCTATCTATTTCACATCTGTTAAGTCACGACTTGAAAAACTTGCACCATCTGCAAACATAAGA